CAACTTGAATATTAGAGGAACAACAAGGCTTTATTCAACCAGCATTCATACAAGTTATCAATCATGAACAAAACATTTCTCTTACCGTTGCTTATGGGTGGAGAGCTGAACACCCCAGTTAGAAAACGTAATCCATGAACCTCGTCAAATAGAATCCTTCAAACAGCTCTAACCGCTCTGAGCTCTGCTCTGCTCCTTATACATTCCCTGATGTGCGTGCAAAGCTGCACACCTCCACCAGGATTACCTTGATTACATCCTCATGATCACATTATGTTCGGCTCTCCTTGATTACATCCTCATGATAAGTGTGATTGACAAACAGTAGTGATCAATAACTTGTATAAAGCAATTATACAACAGATGACAAGTTCATTTTTATTACAAGCGCTTTTCTAGACACCCAAAGACGCTTTTTCACACACTCTCACATTCACATACTACTAGTGACGGTAAGCTACTTGTAGCCACAGCCGCCCTGGGGAGGTCTGACAGAGGCGAGGCTGCCATTTGGCACCGTCGACCCCTCTGACCACCACTAACACTAACAATTATGAGATACTATCTCATAATTATGACTTAGCTATCTCATAATAATGAGATAGTATCTCATAATTATGAGACACTATCACATTATTATGACTTAGCTTTCTCTTGGTCGGCAACAAGATGGCGCCTGCGCTTGGCTTAGCCGCAGTCACCGGCCACTTTTTCAAACTTTTCTCCACTAACCTCGTCTTTTCCACCTTGCTCCTGTCTGCGATCCTCTTCAGTAGTGTCCCTGCTACCATCTCCCATGATCGCCAGACTCTTTTGTCCTTCCGTTCGTTCACGATCGCCCAAGATGCACCGAGGACGTACCTCCATCTTTGTTTAACTGAGTGGCGCACTGGCTCGGAGCCAAACAACGATCCCAACCTGCGCGGCTCCAGCGATATATATCCGGTCCCGGGAAAACGTCGGAGGAAAAGAGGTAAACAAGCAGGAATCCAGGTGAGAATAAGACTTCTCTTAAAGCATGGTTTATCTAGTAAACATCGACGTGATCTTCTAGCTTCTTGTCCTTTGTTTGGTGACCTGAGCGCCACTTCCGCTGTCCCGCCAGGCCGCATTGCAGCGCAGTTCATCCGTCCAAGCTTTTTAAGGTCGGCTTATCCTCATTCCTCAGTGGTTTCTCCTGTTCCCTCCATAAGTGGTTTTTATAAACACCGTGGATCTAACCCTGCTAATTTATGTCTACTATCTCCAGCTGTTTCTGTAGTTTCTGATTCCTCCACCTCACTCAGTATGATTCTGTTAAATTCCTGCTCTGTTAACAATAAGACCTTCCTGCTCAATGATTTAATTCTCTCTAAAAGCCTGGATTTTCTGTTTCTAATTGAAGTTTGGCAGCAAACATCTGATCATTCTGCTCTGATTGAACTCTGCCCGAGTGGTTATTCTTTTCTTAGCCAGCCCCGGGGTTCTGGTCGTGGTGGAGGCCTAGCTGTTGTTTTCAGAGACCATCTTCCATGTAGCTCTACAACCTCTGGTCACTTTGCTTCCTTTGAACTGCAGCTGATTAAAGTCGGGCGTAAGGACCCGTTCTACTGTGCTGTGGTCTATCGTCCACCTGGTCCAAACAGTGCTTTCCTTCAGGAGTTTAGTGACTTTCTATCCTCCACTGTGAAGCTGTCCAGACTGGTGATTGTGGGTAACTTTAACATCCACGTTGATGATCCCTCCGATCTCTTTGCCATGAATTTCTCCAGCCTTATGGACTCCTTCAGCTTTACCCAGCATGCTTCTGGCCCCACACACACCAGGGGGCACACTCTAGACCTTGTTTTTACCCTGAGTCTAAATGCTGACAGTGTTTGTCCTGAGGATGTTTATATTTCAGATCACCATTGCATTTTCTTTAACTTGTCAGTTTCTGTGTCCCCACCTCCTGCTCGCCGTATGGTTAGTTCTCATTTTCTTAATGAGAGCACAGCTAGCATTTATTCTGCTGCTTTTGATCCACCCCGTTCTTCTGATAACGACCCAGATTCCTTAACTTCTCAGTTTAACGAGCACTGCCTCTCCATTCTGGACAACATCTGTCCTGTCAGAACCAGATCAGTTCCTGCAGTGAACCCTACTCCCTGGTTTAATGACAGCCTTCGCAGCCTGAAGCGCCAATGCAGAAAAATTGAGCGTTTGTGGAAGAAAACCCATCTCCACGTCCATCTGCTGCACCTAAAGGATCTTCTGACATCCTTTAACTCTGCAGTCAGAGACGCTAGGGTTTCCTTTTTCTCCAACCTGGTGTCCCAGAGCAAAGGGAACCCCAAGGTGCTGTTTAACACCATCAGCAGCATCGTCTCTCCTGCCTCTCCTACAGCCTCCATCCACTCTGTTGCAGACTGTGAGAACTTTCTGTCTTTCTTTGTGGACAAAGTCAGTAAGGTTAAATCTAGCATCTCTCCTTCAGCCTTATCGCTGCCTCTCGCGACTCCAACCAGGCCCATCATCCTAGATAGCTTTGCTCCTGTTTCTTTGCCTGAGTTAACCAAACTAGTTAACTCTATGAAGACCTCTGCATGCCCTCTCCACATCTTACCCTCATCTTTGTTTAAAAGTGCTTTTCAGTCCATCGGTCCCAGCGTGCTCTCTATAATTAATGCTTATCTGGTTTCTGGTCAGGTCCCTGCTTACTTTAAGAGCGCTGTAATCCACCCGCTTCTTAAAAAACCAAGTCTCAACCCCTCTCTCCGTAGCAGCTTCAGACCCATCTCTAAACTTCCGTTCAACTCCAAGATCTTGGAAAAGGTTGTGGCTAAACAACTCACAGCTGCTCTTGATGAACATAACATCTATGATAGCTTCCAGTCAGGTTTTCGTAGAGATCATTCCACTGAAACAGCTCTTCTTAGGGTCTCTAATGACCTTCTGACTCACAGTGATGCAGGGGACTGTTCTGTTCTGGTCCTGCTGGACCTGACTGCAGCCTTTGACACGGTTGACCATCACCTGCTACTGGAGAGGCTGAGAGACTGGGTAGGCCTATCAGGGTCTGCTCTGGAGTGGTTCTCCTCTTATCCTTCTGAGCGCTCCTTTTCTGTGTCCGTCTCCAAGTTTAGGTCCTCCACCACCTCTCTTACCCATGGTGTCCCACAAGGTTCTGTCAAGGGGCCTCTGCTCTTCCTCCTTTATCTGCTTCCTCTTCAGCACATCCTGAGCTCCTTCAAAGGAATATCCTACCATCTTTATGCAGATGACATCCAACTGTACATCTCCTTTAAGCCCCATGAGATGTCTAAGCTGCAGCTGTTACACACCTGCTTAGACTCTATCAAAACCTGGATGGTGGGAGCTTTCTTCAGCTGAATGAAGATAAGACTGAGATCCTCATCTGTGCCCCAGACAAGCTGGTTCCCAAAGTCAGAGACTCTCTTGGTCAGCTTGCTTCTCACACCAAACCTTCTGTCAGAAATCTTGGTGTGACCTTTGACCCAGCTCTCACCCTGGATTCTCATGTCAGTTCTCTTGTTCGCTCTTCCTTCTTCCATCTCAGGAACGTTGCTAAGATGAGTCCCATTCTGTCCCGCTCTGAACTTGAGACAGTTCTCCACACCTTCATCTCCTCACGCTTAGACTACTGTAACTCTCTTTTCACGTGTCTGAGCAGAACCTCCCTGAACCGTCTACAGGTGGTTCAGAACGCCTGTGCTCGGCTTCTGACCAAGTCCTCCAAACACACCCACATCACCCCGCTTCTCCTCCAGCTTCACTGGCTGCCAGTCAACTTCAGGGTTCATTTCAAGATCCTGGTTCTGGTCTATAGGGCCATACATGGACAAGCACCATCTTACATTGATGATCTTCTTAGTCCCTACACCCCCAGCAGGTCCCTGAGGTCCAGTGATCAAAGCCTACTGGTTGTGCAGCACCAGGCTAAAGGTCAAAGGTGACAGATCATCTGCTGCTGTGGCCCCCAGACTCTGGACCTCTCTCCCCCTGAGCCTGAGATCAGTGGACTCAGTGGTCTCCTTTAAAAAGCAGATGAAGACTCACTTGTTCAAGCTGGCTTTTGTATGACCTTCTTCACCTCTCTCTCTTTATTCTGCTCTCCCCACCTATTCCACCTTCCTCAGGATCCACTGATTTCCCTCTTTCCTGTTCACTCTCTCTCTCTTTCTTAACATTTTTCTTTTAAATCCCAATTGCCTATTTTGCTCATTTTAAATATATGTTTAAACATTTTCTAAATGCTTTTTTATATTTTTACAATTTTTTTGTTTTATTGAAGCGCCTCGTGATTTTTATCTTGAGAGGCGCTATAGAAATGATATTTTCTTCTTCTTCATAATTGTGAGATACTATTATGAGATAGCTAAGTCATAATAATGAGATAGTATCTCATAATTATGATATAGTATCTCATAGTAATGAGATAATTTTTTTTATCTGAGTGGTGGGAATGGGCTTCAATACATTTCTGCCCCTCCGATTAAAAAAATTATTATGACATAGTATCTCATATTTATGAGATAGCTAAGTCTTAATGACATTAAAGGATATCGGTTGGCTGATATTTGCCATTTTTCGTATATCGACATCGGCCGATATACCTCCTTAGTAAAGTCAATTTAAACACAGGCACATCACAGCAGCCCAGTGTTGCTGCAGAGTTAAATTTAAATGTATAATTACATTCCTGAATAACATCTGCATAACAAATCCTTTAAGTTTTGTACATTTATCACTTGGTCAGTTTATTGATTTGTTTGATTAACTTTAGTTTAATGTCTGATTTTAACACTGAGCGGTGCATAAAATTAAGATTTTATGATTTCAGTGTTCAAACACTTGTTCAGCTTCAGAAATGAGCATCAACTGATGTTTTTAGTGATATTTTAGCATAAAAAAAGAGGGAAACACGTAGATATCAGCAATGAAAATTGGCCCCCAAAATCAGCATCAATATTGACAATTGAAAAACCAATATTGGTCAACCTCTGAATCAGATCTCATAATTATGACATACATTTTTTTTATTAGTGGCAGGAATGGGTTTCCATACAATGCAACCTGAAGTCAATAATAATGGTAAAACTGTCAATAGTACAGATTTTTTTCTACTGGATTGGATGGCATCTTTTTACTTTTTAAACACAAAGTAAACCCTTGTTTGCTTAGATTTACACATTTGCTAAACTAGTAACAAAAAATGTTAATGTGAAGTCCATTCGAGAGCATTTAGGGCACAGAAACCCACACAGTGACAAGAGTAGATCAAACATTTACTCTATTTGTACAAGAAATTGTTCTAACTTCTAGTTAAGAATGTTTTGGGATTATAAAATTGAAAACAGACAACATAAGTGATAAATTTAATACATCTAGCTAAAAGCTAATTTGCTTTAAGTGACAGGCACATTTATTATTATTTCTTCCCATTTCAGACAATAAAGCATTATAATTGCATTTACATAGCAGGACACGGAGAACTTTCAGTTACAGTCCAACCAGGTGACTCTGTATCCAATGAGGCGCGGAGACATCACCGACTTGTGCGAGTGATCTTGTGCGTTTAGTTTCTTTCTATCCTGTAGTTTCATCAGCATTCATGAGCACAGCCACAGACCCGGTTTGTACTACACTCATCATCAAACAGGCATGAATCCATTTCTGTACAAATTTGACTAAAATCAAACTAGGGGTTGAAAACCTGCAAGGAAAATGCTACGAATCAAATAAGGCATGGCCCTAAATGGATGCCAAGTCAAATAATATACAAACATTTACTAATTCAAGCTATTTCAAATATTACAAACTGACTCAAACATCATGTTTTTTATTTTCCCCATTTGTGAAGAACCTGGATTGGATTTGTCTGAGCCTCTGATTAGAAATTAGACATTTCTGTAGAAATACTTCCAGTGATGTTTGTTTCAGATACCAAATTAATGTAATTCAAACCTTTTTGGTCTTTTATATAAACTGAGTCCTATAGACAGGGTATCTGCAGGTTTAAGGGAGCCAAATTTAAGACTTTTTAAGACCTTTTAAAGGCCACTTTCACCAAATTTAAGCTATTTTTTAAATTAAATTTAAGCTATGATTTCCAGCTATTGCCTGGAACGTCGCGGACGTGGGATTAGCCATCCAGTTACCATTAAACTTGCACTTTACCATGGCGCAAGCTCCCACTAGCTTAACCAGCAAATGTGCTCGTCTAAAATAGCCCCCTTCCACTGAATGTATACGGTTCCGCTTATGCCAACGTCATACACAAAATATGCTGAACACTAACTAGAAATTCACGAAATTTCTTTAAAAATAAAATAATCTTGTTTATTGGGTCTTTGGTAATTTAGGACCTTTGGAAACTGTATTTAAGGATTATTTGTCATTTTTAAGGCCTTAAATTTGGAAAAGTAAATTTAATGTTTTAAGGACCAGCGGATACCCTGTATAGAAAACTGCCTCAATGTCATCACAAGACACCTTTGTTGTCATTTAGACATCAGATTGGAGTAGAAGTGTGTGTATTAAAACATTAGTCTTACAATTTTTAAATATGTGACATTGTAATTTGCATTAATAAGCAGTTATGGTTGTGGGCCAAAAACAAAAAAACAAAACAGGCTTGATAAAACAGTGATCAGCCATCCCGATTCCTCTAATGTCAAAAATGGAAAAACTCCAGATAAATCTTAAAATGCCACTTAAAATAAAGTATAAAAAATACACTAAATCATTAAATGAATATTATGCAAAAATAAAAGGAGCTAAAAACGTTTGAGCAGCAGCTGAAGTGTGCCAACCAGCTTGGATCTGGTGTATTTCCAGCCGACATAGAGGTTTCTGTACATGCCATAGATGATCAGGCCTTGTGCGTAAGGACTGACGAACACCTGTTAGTCACTAAACACTACATCTGCCAAAAACTATTCATCAGAAAATATAAATCCAGCGTCCTCAAAAGGAGCGGACCCATCAGTTGGTCAAAACTCAGACTCATAAAGTCCACAAACATTGCTTTTCCGTGACTTTTGGTTTTGCGGTTTGAGGTCAGGACTAATTTTATTGCAATCAGTGTTGCATCTTTACCAAAATGTATGGATTATAGTAAAGATAAAACTGGACCTTGTTACCTAAAAGTTCAAGAAAACACAGCAATACAAAAAGAATAAAAACAGGAAATCCAAGAATCGTGTCGACGCGATCAGAGAGCAGATCGAACGTCACCCTGCTCACATTCGAGTTCTTCCTCGGGGCCAGACATGCATATTTACCCTAAAACACTGCAGATAACACGTCCCTCTCCCTCTAAAAAAGGGTTTGATTAGGTATAATGGCTTCATCTCTGGTTTCCCAAACTAATAAACTCTGGTTCTCTGTGACCAGTCAAAGGCAGGAAACATGGCCTCCTCTTCCTCCATCCGTTCTTCGCTGTTGGCCCCAGCACAAGTCCATCCATCCGGTTCACTTGGGGGGTGGAGCACGGCCCTGCCAGTAGTTCTCATAGGCCTTCTGGAACATATCCTTACACTGGAGCTTGGCTTTCAGCCGGGAGCAGATCAGGAACGAGCCGCCCATCTTCCGGTGCAGCGAGTACGTCTCCTCTGGAGGAGGGGTGAGGCGGTGTTTGAGCATCACCGGGATCAGGTTGTGGATCCTCTCAGTGGTAGACTGCGAGCCGAAGTCGAAGGTCCCAGCAGAGGCGAAGGCCTCGCCGAGGATCATCACCGCGTCCACGTGGGCATTCACCATCGCCTGGAAACGTAGTCACACAGTCACATTAAACAAACCTGTTAACTTAATCTTAAAAATGATAATCTGCTGAGGAAAACACATGTTTTTGAGTGAAAATACTGTAAAACATCCCAGCACTTACCTTGGACTCATACCCAGTGAGGAACTTCATCTCAACAGATTTCTTCTGGACTCCCTCTCTGTTGCCCTCGGCAGCTGATCGGATGATCTACAGTCAAACAGACATTATGGATTTCACTTATTTTAACTCTTTATCCAGAACGAAGCCTGTAATAAGTTTAGATCAAACAACAAATGTTGCAAAAAAGCTACAGAATGGTGGGCTCGACACACGGGAGGCGACATCGCCTCTCCTCCATTCATTTTCAATGAGTCATGCGCGACAAAGCGATAATCGCGGGTCTCCCTCCTACCAAGGGAAACATGAAAAACGTGCGTGTGAAAGTTTGCACTCGTGCACGTGTCGTGCACGGACGACCCAGCGACGCGATCCCAGAAAGTTGAAACATTTTCAACTTTTCATCGCCGTCGCTCGGACGAGGACCAATCAACGGAGGTTTCATCCACTGACCAATGAGCGGACAGGATGCTCCGTACACCTCCGAGCAAACATGGAGAAGTTGATTATTATTATGTTTTATAGTAAAATCACAAGTAAGATTTCACATAACTCTAGCAGCACCTTGTGAAACATCATATCTACCGCTTTTTTTTAAACTCTGAACCGCTTAAATAACCTTAATTCCCTCCAACCTGACACAGCCAAGCAAAGCAACAGAAGTTTCGATTTTGCCGGCTTTGCCGCTGCCGTGGATCGCCTCGCGTGTGTCAGGTAATAAAAGCGACAGTGACAAATTTCACTGATCGCGGCCGTTTGTCGCCTCCCGTGTGTCGAGCCCATGACATCCCCCCCCCCCCCCCCCCCATTAGATTCCAAAAGATAAAAAACGTAATTAAAAAGAGCAAAGCCACAGGCTACAGCGATCATACCGCCGCCTCACCTCAATGTAAACATCCGTGAAACTCTGATCGAAGCCTCTCGTTGCTCCAAAGTCCAACAGCGCCACCTAGAGGACGCAATGCATCATTCATCAATCATGAGTCCCAACAGTAGTCACAGAAGCTCCTCTGACAGCCGTGTTTAGTCTCACCCTGTGTGTCTGCGGGTCATAGAAGAAGTTGGACCAGTTTGGATCCGTCTGCATGTACCTGAACTCAAACAGCTCTTTGAGGCACAGCAGCAAGATGTTCAGGCAGATCTGACATGAGGGAGGAGAAAACATCGTTTTGTTTTTGTTCCGTATTGTTCTCTAACTGAAGATCCGATCGGGTGTACCTCGTCCTTCAGCTCCTGTGAGAGGCTCTCAGCTTTGTCCAGAGGAAACCCAGGAACCAGTTCAGTGGTGAGGACGTGGCTGCTGCTCAGCTCCTCGATCACCTCTGGTACGTAGAAGAATGGATTGTCCTTCAGCAGCTCTCTGGGTAACAACACAAATGTTATTCCACAAGGTGAATTACATATATATATTTTTTTAATCTGGTTTTTGCTCAAAAATACCTGAACCTCTTGGCACACTGAGCTTCTCTAATGTAGTCACACTCCAGCGCCAGCTCTTTCCTCATTACATGGATCAGATGCTCCGGAAACAAGCCTTCAGGAGCACAAATAACACCAATTTTATACATTAAGTAAGAGAAAAGTCAAATTTAGTGCTCTGAGGTTGAAGAAACACTTATTAACAATGTCTCCACCATCTAATTTCAGTCCCGTGTGTCTCAGGAAGCGATAAACAAAGCTGAACTGGTCAGTTTTATAAAATATTTTAAAAAACGCTACAGAGTTGTAGATAAAAGTGATCAGAAATCCTTTTTGCACAAGAATCTAACACAACAAGCGCATCTGAACACTGTTCATAGTTTGAGTGAGCTGTGACGTCAACATAGTGGATCTGTTCATGAGATGTGCTACCCTCCCTGCACGACCTCTCCTGAACACTAGGTGGCACTGCAGAGAGAATAACACAGCCACATGGAGAAACTAGCACACCTTCGGGCAAAGCGTTGCTCATATTCAGCACCGCCATCAAGTTGTTGACGTCACTGTCGATGCTCTGAGCCACACCGGGATACTGAAAACAGAGACAGAATTTACTTCATGGGATTAGAATTTTTAAACGGGGCAAATTAAGCGTCAAGCACCTGAATTAAAGCACCAGTTTAAATTTAAACAATAACAAAAACGTATGATCTGTAAAAGAAGCATCTGATCTCTCCAGTGACATGTACACACACACACACACACACACACACACACACACACACACACACACACACACACACACACACACACACACACACACACACACACACACACCTGTATTTTCATGGCCACCTCCCTCCCATCCTTCATCCTCGCTAGGTGAACTTGGCCGATGGACGCTGCTGCAAACGGACGCTCTTCAAACGATTCCAGTTTGTCCCTCCAGTTTGGGCCTAAATCGCTATTTAACGCTTTCTGTAGTGGGACAAATATCATTATTTTATTGACTGATCTCGATCCGTAACCACAGGTAGTCGAGGTCAGACTGGGACATCTTCCATTATAAATAAAGTTTTACAGATTTAAAAACTCTTACTGTCATTTGTTTGATTGGCATGAAGTCTGCGCTCTGCCGCACACGCTCGAAGATCTTGGCGAGCTGCGGGTTGATAAACGCATCATCTGAAACGCACAAACATAAATCAGGCTAAACAAGAGCCAAAAATAAATAAAAAAGACTTTTACATAAATGTGACTCAGCAGCTTCTCTAACTGTCTCTGGCTGACATTACAGATATAAACAATTACTAATAAAAACCTCACTAAGCTCTCAAGGTTAGCACTATTTTGGCCTCGTGTTAAAGGCCTGAATGGTTTTATAACTGCACGACGGATAAATGTCAGCAGAGATTTTTACCCTCCACTGACATCATTCCTTCCTACAGTGCACGAGGAAGAGCGGTGCTCACGTCCAGGTCTAGAAAGCTGCCGCGGCCTCTTTTGCTCGTGAAAAACCCACTTGTCATCACGTTAAAAATAGCTGTCCCAGTTCTGCCGGTGACCGTGCACGTGCAGATCAGGTCTATCCCAGTTCTCAAACAACTGGAACTGCGTGTCCTCCTTTTTCCCACTACTGTGTTTGCATTTTCCGCTTTTTGCGTGTTGTGCGGCTTTCCACCAGCGTGTTCAAAAGAAAACGCTCACTGAGCAAAGTCAGGCTGAGGTTCAGCGGTGATAAACAAAATAGCGATGTTGTGTTTACTGCCGTTACCTGATCTGAGTTCATAACCTTGATGTTTGGATGTTTACTGCTGTTCACTCGCTTGTGCAGAACACAGACTAGCACTAACAGCTGTGTCAATATGTCACCTTTTAATGTTCAAATCAAAACAAGATAAAAAAAACAACATCCATGCTTGATTGTCTCTTTGAAGGACTACTTCTGAAGAGGTGTTACTAGGGGTGGGTACCTTTGACATTTGAATCGATTCGGTACTAATACCCGGTACCTAGGAATCGATACCGGTACTTAACGGTACCAATTTTCGATACTTTTGAGTGTTTAATATTTTAATTCTCTTTTATAATAAAATTTATATTTTTCTTAATATATAACCATATTTGATAAATATCACGATAAATAACATTCAACTGTTTGTATTTTAACATCGTCCTTGTAGTTTTATAAGCTGATAATTAAACTGAAGCAAACATCTTTAGTGTGAACTAAATTTACTGTGTATCTTCATTCCTTTTGCCGTCCTTTTTCATTAGATTTTTCCTACTGGGAAGTTAGAATTTCCGAGGAGAAAGCGAACGCACCATTAGCTGATAACAATGGTAGCAATGGAAGCTAACTTATCTAGCTAACGTTATCTTAAACAGTTTATTTAGCTGCTGGAGCAGATTAAAACGATGATGCCTCACACTTAGATCGTTGTCGCTGGTTTCATCTTCACCCAATCACCCGTCGCATTTAGTAAAGTGAAGCCGAACTTTAGAGCGCGTTCATGTTCTTCTAGTCGGAAATTCGGAGTTCCGAGGAGAAAGCGAACGCACCATTAGCGGAACGGAAGCTAACAAATCAAGTTAACGTTATCTTAAACATTTTATTTACCTACCGGAGCAGATTAAGATGAGGATGTCTCACTTAGATCGCTGTCGCTGGTTTCATCATCACCCAGTTACCCATCACATTTAGTGAAGTGGACCCAAGCTTTAGCGTGCGTTCTTTCTACCATGCTGCTCTGTTTACAACTGGCTCGCAGCGACTGACGACATAACGCTCTTGCGCATGCGCAGCTGTCTAGGCAAGTTCTCGTTATGAAGGACGGGTACCGAAACGAGACACCGTTTCAAATGACGTGAATAGGTGCTCAGTCGGTACTATGGAATTCGTTCGGTACCTTAAAAAGTACCGAATTCGGTACCCATCGCTAGGTGTTACGTTGAAGTTTCATTAACCAATAATACCCTACCCGCTGCAGACTGCTCTTTGCACAAACTCAGTTTGGAGAAAGTGTTCAATTCTGACTGGATTGATAAGCTAACAGCTAGTCTGAGTGGAAAGAGGCTCAATCCTCCAAAATTGTATTTTATTTTATTTCAGCGTTATACCAAAAAACATTATGATTTTCCTTCTGGAGGTGCACCACGCAACAAATGTGTACATTTTTTAATGCTAAGACGGCTACCAGAGCTCGTAAACAACCTAAAAGGTCTACGCAAATAATTTTGTAGAGCTAAAAAGTTTGGTTTGCAAAGCTGAACACACGAACTGCTGTGGATTTCAAAGACTTTAAGACAACATCAGATCACTTTCGCTTTAGCATTGGTTTGACTAGCCTTTAGTATGGCAAGCTTTCATCTAAAAACTTTCACAGCGGTAAACAATTTAGAAACCTTTACACAATTGTCAATATTGCATTTCTTGGTTATTCTGGCAAACGTTCCTACAGGAAGTGTCCCAACCTGCACAGGAAGTGCCACAGCTAGCATCTGCAGCTATCAGAGCTAACTACATCAATACCTTTGTAATAAATGCTAAAAGAAAAGTCAAAGAAATGTTTTAGATTGTAAATATTTGAGAAGGCAACACTTTAGTCTTGGCTGACTAGCTGTTAGCTAGTCAATCCTGTCATAATTTAATATCTCTTTCACCAAACTAAAGTTGTTCAAAGAGCTGTCACCAACATGCTTTATATGCTTTTCATAGCCCTACTTCAAAATCCCAAATATATTTTCATCACTAAAGAGTTTTTAATAATAATAATAATAATAATAATAATACCAAAAAAAACTCAAACATCAATGAAAATGTTTGATTTTGTGCCTCACCCTGAATGCTGAGCATCTGACCCAGTTTCAGCGCCGCTCCTCGGACTTTGCACAGAGTTCTGACGATGCGCTCAGCGTTAGCCTCAGACAGGAAAGGGCTCGAGTCCAGAACGGCTTTCTTATTTTCACCTGGAAAAGAGAAACACCACACAGCAGATCATCTGTTACAGACGAGACACAAAAAATTCAATTAGGCTCCTTTTTCCTGATAAAAATTTTGACCGTCTGAAGATCCAAACAGTTTAACGGGCCCTGGTTTGCAGGACTGGGGATAAAATGTGAGCGAGTAAGTGTATTTGTGTCAGTGGGCCATTAGGTGGCTTGGTTTGGCGTGTCTGATAGGGCTGTCGCGGTTGAGGAATTCCCCCTGCGGTGATTCAGGGTGGCTTAATATTGCGGTGTGCGATATTATTGCAGCCCTTTTTTATTGCAGTACTATCTAAACATAATGTTTACACATTTAAAAAGGGTTAAAAATTGCCGTGCCTTCTTTTATAACACTTTACTGAATGCAGATCAAAGGGCAGTAACAACACAGATCGCAGTAACGTTTGTTTCTCCGACAGTCGGAGTCCGACTGAACTTAAAAACAACAAAATTCAGGAGAAGGTTAAACTTTTAAATGCAAATTTGGCTGCAGCATCTAACAAATAAGAAACAAGTCCCCATTTTGTTTAGTTGTTTAAAATCAAGCATAAAAAATTACATGTACCGGGCGCACTATCATTTCACTATCACACACACGAATGACGGTGATTTATAGCTCGGTCACGTCCTTGTTACCCACAAGGAAAACCAGCATGTTAACCATATACGGTTTGAGAGAGGATCTGAGAGGGGTGGCAACATTTCCAGCAACACTGAAAACCCTCTCGGATGGTGCGCTCGTTGCACTAACGCACACGTACTTGCGTGCGACTCTGACGAGCAAAGGGAGTCTCTCCCGGTTGTTGCTCCACCATGTCAGGGGGGTTTTCTTTAGGGTGGATGCATTCCTCCTGCAGGTAGCGAGTGAGCTCCAGCTCGGCTCAAACTCTCTTCGGGAAGGCTGCAGAAGCAGTGCTTGTCCGGGACTTCAGCAGGTCTCCGAGCATTTATTTATTTATTTATTTTTGCCGCTGGTGGCAGCTCTGTCTCGGCCAAGGACTCTGGCTGCGCAGCAGCTGACGTACTGAAAACCAAAGTGCTCCCAAAGGAGCGAAGTAACGTTTCGTTTTGATACGAGTGCAGCCATCCTTCTCAACATGCATCACTGAGTTGAACCAAGTTCAGTAATCGCGGTGGCCCATGATGCAGCGCGGTGGGCTTCTTCATATTGCGATATTTCATTTTTGCGGTTACCGCGACAGCCCTAGTGTCTGAAGCCACCTTCAGACAGATTTTCTTCTCTAACACACACACGAGTGTGTTCCGAGTGTTCTCGCTGGGTTTTAAGCACAAACGCAGCAGATGTACAAATGACACAGATTTACGCCTCTGCGCTCCGTTTCAGATTAGCCGGTGTTTTGGGATTAGCGGGCTGCCGACGCAGAACTGGAACGCTTGTCTGAGGGAAAAATTGGCTGAGGAGGGTGAGGTGAGGTCAAAATGTGTGCAACATGCAGTAAATACATGAAGAAAGAAAAGTCTAAAGCTGCTCAAGAGGAAAGCAGACAGGAAGTCATAGAAACATTTTTGGTGTTTAGCTTTTTTATTTTTTATTAAAAGCCGATCAAGTTGACATGATTCCTTTTTACTTCTCCCTCAGCTTTACAAAATAGAAACTGGTCTTAAAACACAGATTATCGAACTCAGATGGGTGTGTGTGTGTGTTTACCTGCAGCACCATTCATCCCGATGCTCTTCTTGGCCACTTCTGCTAAAGCTCCAATCCCCAAACCAACAGCCAAACCTAACACAGACAAAAATCCAGATAAAAGCACACAAAATCATTATAAAAACATTTAAGCAACACCTAAACACACTCACCGCAGCTCCCTGCTACGGTGCTGCAAATATCTGTACTGATGCAGTGGCCTTAATAAAAAACCCTCATCAGAATATTCCACCAGGCCCCAGTGATGTTTGTGTGTTAGCATGAGGACTTGTGCTAATTTTAATTTCCATTAAGATAAAATCAATTGTTGAGACAAAAAGGCAGATTAACCCTTTAATCAGCTGCCACCAGCACCTGCTATGAACTGGTTGAAGATCATAGCTGCAGATAATGATAACAAGTTCCTCCATGTAGAGCTTCGACCTTACGTAACCCCGCATTACATGAGATGTTGGTAAGTCCTCTATGGAGCAACAGACCTTCCACGCAGCGATAACCGATTAAAGAAAGAGACGCTGCACTTCACCGAGCTTCTATGTTTGTTTGTTTTTAGCCTCCCTTTCTTTTAATTGTGCAGATTTCAAATGTTCAGAACAAAAAAAATGAACATTACCAGAAAACCTGCTGCAGGGATCTGAGCTAAACACAGATCAGCGTTTCTTGCGTCATCGTTGAGTGACGGGTAATTCTCCAGACTTAGCACAAGCACCTGTCCATCGTTGGCTCTACGGAGTGTGTTCAAACACACTGCACTGTGTGCAGCTTATTTATAAACTGTTAGTTGTGTTCACACACCGAAAAGGTTTGCAAAGCCTTTTGAAAACGGTGCTATAAAGGAGAAAGTTCAGATCTTGCAGCGGGTTTCTCAGAAAAGATTATGAAACCAATATCTGAACAGCCTCAGTTAGGAGAATTAGAGATCAACTACAACTGTGTAAACAAGCTAATGGCTAGCCAAAGAGAAGCCAGGGCTACAGTGGATAGCTATAATATAAAAAAATTTGCGTCCAAAATTGCAGCATCTGCGATATCACTGTCGCGCGCACGTAAGATGCAATATTCATACAGAAACGTAACATTGTGAAGATCCATTTGGAGCACCAGTTTTCAAAGGAGTATCTCATAAACTGTTCCACAAACAAACAAACCTATAAAGACAATGAAACTTTGAGGTCCCAATGTGTTGGTTTCCTTCTTAAAAGTTCCAAAGCAGGAAGGTTAGATTTGCAGTCTGCTGACATTTCTGTATCACGTCTGTTGACTGTGGACGGTGTGTTTGCACCTCCCAAATCATGGTGTTGAAATGGTCGTTGTACCGTGATTCTGTGTAATTTCTCCAAATAGAGGCATTTTTAACAACTCTCTTGAACAATTAAGACATTAATTACTCATAAATGAGCACAGAAACTAGGGATGGGCACCTTTGACATTTGAATCGATTCGGTACTTAACGGTACCAATTTTCGATACTTTTGAGAGTTTAATATTTTAATTCTCTTTTGTAATTACCGTAAATCCGCTAATACAGGCCGGTATTCAATTAAAGACCGGGTCTCCAATTCTGGCCGGTGTCGGAGTCAGCGGAGGTAAATAATGGCCGGTCTCTTATTGTGGCCGGATGGAATGTGGTAACAAGCAAGTACGAGCGTCCCAGCGGCAGGGTTATAGTCACCAAATCAACCAGCAGGAGGCAGTAGAAGTTCACCCAGACCTATTTTAGGCTTTTTCTTCAACGCTTTGTAACGCTACAGACACGATCCTCTATCACGCTCCTACCACACAGAGTCACGGTGTCAGTTAACCATGCTAATTCATCCCGCTCCACAGAACACACATCACCTTCCCTGTGGCTTACATAACACTCACACAACACGCAAATCAGCACATAGGAACTAGCAGAACAATAGGAAACACATATAACACAATACCCAGAATGCACCTGGCTTACAACCCCAGTCAGGTCATTACACTATCAAGTTCAAAGAGAACGTGCTGATTATGCTGCAGAACACTCTGGGGAGCAGCAGTAGGGGGTGTATGAACTACAGTAATCCCTCGTTTATCGCGGTAGATGCGTTCCAGACCTGGCCGGGATAGGTGAAAATCCGCGAAGTAGGGACTCCCAGCAAGCCCCTCGCGGGGATTCCCTTCACGTCGCACCTACGTCACAAACCGCGGCTATAAACGGAAGTCGCCTTTCCAGCTCACCACTCAGTCATCGTTTCTTCAGATTCATGATCAGAGTTTCCAACCTACCGATCCATCCCACGAACTATCAGCTCATAGTAAGTTATCTTACTTACTTCTGGAAAGCCCGGCATTTCCGTGTCACTTCGTTGATGCTCGAACGCTCGGGGGTTTCCTAGAGCACCGACGCTATCACTTCCGCGTCTGTGAAACCACGCTCCCTATTGAATTATCGTATGATCACATTCTCCTTTTTGGGGGTAAAACTCAAGTGCCAGACCGTAGGTAATAACACGCGATCGTTCATGTCGGTTCATTTCCTTTAATGTTTTCTGTCTTTTATTTGCGCCTGATGCGTTTCGTTGCATGCTGTGGAGCGGGGCGCTGCACGCATCACCTTGTCCTCCGACGCACTGATCACTGATACAGCCGCCAAACAGCAAGCGCTCCGCTGTTTTTGCGGTCGGTAGATCTTTTAGAACTGCAGTTCAAAGGTAACTCATTAGGTGAATATATATGAACCCAGGTAGCAGTTTTTCTTTAGGATTGAGAGGAGATGCAGGAAGATAATAAACAGGCAGGACAGAAAAATAGTCAAATAAAAACAAGTTAGTTTTTGTACCTGCTGTTGCAACAAACAGACACCATTGAAGGTAATCAGAAGTGAGGAACATAAAATGAAATAATTATTTTAATGTTTAGAGCAGCAGGAACTCTGAGAGGCTGCAGGCGCATCAGTGAGTTTGCAGCCGCTGCGCAGGGGGAGGGGGGAGAGGGCTGAAGCAGGAACTACCGTTGTTAAAAGAAATGTGTTTAACTTTGAAAATGTGGGCTCACTTTTAATTGTCAAAAACTCCAGCGAACCATTAGTTCATTTTGCTCAAATAGAAATAGAGGCCTGCCTCTAATACTGGCCCTCCTTCCAATAAAAGGCCCGGAGCTTGATGAGCTTGAGTCAAATACAGGCCCGGGCCTGTATTAGAGGATTTACGGTATATATATTTTTTTCTCAATATATAACCATATTTGATAAATATCACGATAAATAACATACAACTGTTTGTATTTTAACATCGTCCTTGTAGTTTTATAAGCTGATAATTAAACTGAAGCAAACATCTTTACTGTGAACTAAATTTACTGTGTATCTTCATTCCTTTTGCCGTCCTTTTTCATTTGATTTTTCCTACTGGGAAGTTAGAATTTCTGAGGAGAAAGCGAACGCACCATTAGGTGATAACAATGGTGGAAATGGAAGCTAACATATCAAGCTAACGTTATCTTAAACAGTTTATTTAACTGCTGGAGCAGATTAAAACGATGATGCCTCACACTTAGATCGTTGTCGCTGGTTTCATCTTCACCCGTCGCATTTAGTAAAGTGAAGCCAAACTTTAGAGCGTGTTCATGTTCTTCTAGTCGGGAATTCTGAGTTCCGAGGAGAAAGCGAACGCACCATTAGCGAAACGGAAGCTAACATATCAAGCTAATTATATTTACTTACCGGAGCAGATTAAGATGAGGATGTCTCACTTAGATCGTTGTCGCTGGTTTCATCATAACCCAGTTACCCATCACATTTAGTGAAGTGGACCCAAGCGTTAGCGTGCGTTCTTTCTACCATGCTGCTCTGTTTACAGCTCGCTCGCAGCGACCGACGACATAACGCTCTTGCGCATGCGCAGCTGTCTAAGCAAGTCTCGTTATGAAGGACGGGTACCGAAACGAGGCACCGTTTCAAATGACGTGAATCGGTGATCAGTCAGTACTATGGAATTCAGTCGGTACCTTAAAAAGTACCAAATTCGGTATCCATCCCTAACAGAAACTGACCTCAAAAGACCTGCAGCTTGATTTTATTTAAAACAACGTAACAAGGTTGCTGTGAGCCATGTTTCCACAGAAACAAGCGCGCACACACACACACACCCATCTACTTTTTCTCACCTCAAGTCCCTGAAATATCTACCTACTGCTGTGAAAACAATAATATACTTGCAGAACTTTATGACCAAACATTACAAAAGACAAAGATAAATCAAGGCCACAATCCTCATCATCTCCCCAACTTTTCAACACCTACTAAATCCCGCCATCGTCCACACGTCGACTCCTCCCAGCTGTACATGCGGCGCCCTGTAAATCCCACACGGTTTCAAATGAGCTGCAGCTAAATTCTGCTGCATGTTTGTGTTGGCAGTCTGCGCCAGTCTGTTTATGAACACTAGTCTCCCTCTTTACTTGTCGTCTTTATGTACTCCTACATCAGGTGTGTGAAATGAGTTCCTGACAGGTAGTGTTAAGCTTTTTTTGTGGTTTATGCTCAAGATTATCCCCAAAACATTATTTGAGATTTTCCATCACTCGCACACACACACATGGACAAATGTGACTACACACTTATTCAGATAAACAGCCAGTGAATCATCCAGTGACAGATTCGTGTCGTAGTACCTCCAAAGTTAGCCAGTCTGCCGAGCCGGGTCACAGGGACCTTCCTCTCTCTGGCTCTTTCACTTAACTAAAACATAAAAAAAACCACAAAGTCCATCAAAACGTCCAACTATAACCTTTGTGTGTGCTTTTGATCTACCATCTGTTTATGTGGTTTCTCGTCCACCCTCTTGCTCTGGCTGGTTTTCTCTATGTCCTCTGCTGTCAGGCCTCCCACTGACGACTGGTCCTGATGGTAGCTTCGGACCAGACTCGCTGGGTGTTGATGGTTTACTTCATGCAGCACGTGTCTGCTCGGGCTGTAAAGATTATGTTGACCAAGGAAGTGCCTGTAGAAACCAGAGCACATAGTCTCACCTTAATCAGACACAAATGGAATCAAAGGCCTGGAGCAGGACTTGGGTATACTGTGTTTATACCTGGCGTCTTGATGATACGACCTGGTGTGACCACTAAACTGTTTACTCGGATCTTTGTATCCCTCAAACACGGACTGGTTTCCACTGACGGGGTTTGGAGAATGATCTGTTGGACTGTTTGTGTCTTCTTCTCTAAACTCCGACTCGGACAATGGCATTTCGTCCTGAGGAAAGTCAAAGTCCGACTCTGACGAAGCGGATTGTTGCTGACCAGACAGCTCCTACAAAAACACATAATTGTACTTTACCTGAACCGAGAGGTGTTTTCTTTACCAGTGAAGAGAACAATCTCAACGCTACAGGTTCAAATATTAGAATGTAAAAACAAACCATACCAACCTGCATTTTCATCATGGCCACTGACAGGCCTTGCTCTGCAGCCGTTTGGACACCTTGGACAGCAGCACCAACTCCTGAATGACAAACACCAACGTTTTAGTGTCTTCTTTGGTTTAAAATGTTTTCCCATCACTTTAATCCAAGAGAACATTGTCAAAAGCCTGGCAGTCGGCTTGCTTTTGCTCCTGGAGTAAGAAAATATCAATACACTGAAAAATAGAACCATTTTGTGTCATGATACTGAATCAATAACTAAAAGCTGTGTATACATTTTATTGAGCATTTACATGAAAAACATTGGTAACACTTCCTTTTACAGTCCCATAATTACTAAGTACTTACATGGTAATTACATAGTAAGTAAAAGTGTATTGTTGTTTCTGAGTTCTTAAACAGTTATTACCATGTAACTCAGGTTCAATTCTAGTTATTTTATTGATCTATCCAAGTAAATACTGCTTTATACAAAACCTTATTACAATTATAAACTTGAATTACACAATAATACACTTTAACTTACTGTGTAATTACCATGTAAGTACTTAGTAATTAGGGAACTGTAAAAGGAAGCATTACCAAAACATTTATCGTGGGTTTTTTTGTGTGGTGCAATTCAGCAAATTTTACCGCTTTCCTTTTGATGGAACAAGATCTTTTGATAACAGCGAATGTGTCTTGGTCTGCCCTGAGTTTTCCAATTCATTACGTTCCATCGATTTCACATATGATGTCCGTGAATTTTAAATAAGCTTTTTGATACCAAGAACGCGCTTATTTTAGAACAGGGGGAAAGGCTATTTTAGGTTTTGTGTGAAAATAAGTCCAGGACTACAAATGCGCTTCACGAAAGTGACGCCATCGAACCAGACACGGAAAAAACAGAAGGAAAATGTCTGTAAGTTCAGCTAAATGTAAGTCCTTTCCACAGGAAGAAAGAACTACCATAAATCTGGCCTTTTGGTAAGTAGCAGCTACGCTAGGGGAGAGGAGATTATGTGGTGACATTACATATGCGACGTGCCGATTTCTAGCCATGCTAATTACGAACTTTTACAAGCTGATAAATCTCAAAGCACGTGGCAGGTATGGTCGAAAGACACAGCATTACTTTTCATTTGAATTGCAGTACAACAGATACCATACCATACCATGTTTATTTATATAGCATATTTAAAAACAGCATGACAGCTGACCAAAGTGCTGTACAGTAAAAAGGACAAACCCCAAGATAAAAACAGATAAAAGTCATATAGGAGGTAGGAGGTCAAATCATAAAAACTGTAAAAGAAACGTACAACAATAAAATGCAGAATCACAATAAAACGTGAAAACACTAAAAGCTAGATCATTGAATAAAAGCTAAATGATAGAAGAAGGCCTTCAGTACCGACTTAAATCGACCCAGTTCTGGGGCCTGTTGAACACTAAGGGGGAGAGCGTTCCAGAGTTCAGGAGCAGCGAACGCAAAGGCCCGCTCTCCACGAGATTTATACCTCATTTTCGGGACGCACAAAAGCAAACGATCTGCAGATCTCAGGTTTCTGGTTGGAGCATAAGGCTTTATCAGTCCTGAAAGATGAGCCGGCGCTTGACCATTCAGAATGTTGTAGACAAAGGTCAAAACCTTAAATTGGATGCGGTATTTAACAGGAAGCCAGTGCAAGCGTGCAAGGACGGGTGAAATGTGACAGCGTCTCGAGGTGTTTGTCAGGAACCTAGCCGCCGCATTTTGCACTCTCTGTAGACGCTCGATTGCTGAGGCGCTGACACCAACAAGTAGTGAGTTGGCATAGTCTAAACGTGTAGTTACAAAGCCGTGAACAACAGACTCCAGCTGAGGTCGTTTAATTATTGACTTTAAGCGCAAGATGCGACGTAGTTGGAAAAAGCAGGACCGGACTGTAGAGTTAATTTGTGAACTCATTAACAGATCAGAGTCAAGTTTCACTCCCAGACTGGATATTTAAGATTTAAAAACGGTAGAGGGGAGTCACCAGGTGCAGGCTTCGGATTTATTGGATTAAAAAGAATAGCGTCGGTCTTGTTTTCGTTAAGGCAAAGGAAGTTCTCCGACAGCCAGCCTTTAACTGCGGTAATACAGTCGACAAGGAGGCGTGTTGAGTCGTCCGTGTAAAGGTGATAACTTATTCCAAGGTTGGTCAGAATCATCCCCAATGGCAATAAGTAAATCGAGAATAGGAGTGGCCCTACAATCGAACCCTGAGGCACACCCCAGCGTAGATGGAGAGGAAAAGCTGTCAATGTGAACACTAAATTGTCTATCTGACAAATATGATCTGAACCAACGAGGTGGGATCCCCGTTACCCCCAACCTCATCTCCAACCTCCTACGTAGGATGTGCGATCCAGGGCGTAAGGCAAAGTGGATTAGAAAATGGAGTTTTTAGCCCCGTTGACTTGCATTCATTTTTTCGTTCTTCCGGGAACCCGTGAGGCGACCGGAAAGGGAGGAGACTTATACTGTAGCCAGCCTGTACAGGACAGTCGAACTTTTATTTTGATGCCTAGTTAAAGACTTTTGTCAATTCTAAACTTTCACCTTAGAGAATGATTTTATGTCAGAACTACAATAAAATATATTAACTTTTTAAGATTTTATTTATTAACTGAATTAAAATCCTTTACTGTGTCAATAAATAAAACAAAAAAATGTGTGTGTGTGTGTGTGTGTGTGTGTGTGTGTGTGTGTGTGTGTGTGTGTGTGTGTGTGTGTGTGTGTGTGTGTGTGTGTGTGTGTGTGTGTGTGTGTGTGTGTCTTAACTGTTAATGGTATTTTAATCAAAAATTAAATTGATGACTAGAAAGCACTGTGAGTTTTTAAAGTTACATTTCTGCTGCCTCCTTAACCCCTAACCAACAATAGCCGTTTACAAGTATTTACAATAACTTGGGGGGGGTGCTCCCATGTACTTGCCTGTACCCTTGCGCAAGGCGTTGCTCTGAGTCTCTACGACGGCCTGGCTCAATTTAGCCAAACCTCGCATGAGTAACATCATATCAGTCGCCATGATGGGCTGAACACTGGAGGGAAAACAGAGTAAATGTCAGACAGCGTCTGCACACGCAGAAAAACACACACAGTGTTACACAAACACTAACCAGACACGCAGAGGAGAAACAGAAAACTCTTAGAAGACACAGAAACAAGGAGACAAAATACAAAGAATCAAACTTGCCATCAACATGCTGCCAAAAGAAGCACCTTCTCACACACACACACACACACACACACACCAGCTGTTCTGACTTTAAATCTCTGCCTATAAATAATCATGACCTCCACCCTGTTCTGTTTGGACACACACACACACACACACACACACACACACACACACACACACACACACACACACACACACACACACACACACACACACACACACACACACACACTATGAGTGTGGAGATCAAGACTGGGTCTGAAATGACATAGGAGTGCAGCATTGATTCCATTTCAGACCCCGAGCCAAAGCCAGTGCACGTGTTGGGTTCATGTTCAAGGCTCACCGCCGCTCGTCGCTCCACTCCCTTTTATTTTTACACAGGAGATGAGTTTGTGAGTTTGCTTTCTATTAAACTTTCTCCTCAAAGGCCCGACAGTAAACGTGGAGTTTCAGGTTAACGGAGGACACATGAAAAGCTCGTATCTAAACGGCAGCGCTCTTACTGCTGCGGCTGCAGAGGACCTCAGCTCAGCCAGGCTGTGTAAAAACACCACTGATTCAGTATATAGGTCATCTTCCTCCTTAGGATTCCTGTATGGAAAGCCATTCTTACACATATTTAAATCATGCGCCCATATTTTATTAGTGATATCCTTGATCTGATTACATTTTTGTTGGTTATATATGGTGGCTTTCATAACTGAAATAGCTTTAGGATAAAAAATAAATAAAAACTGCAATTTTAATATTGAATTACTCAACTGGATATGTTTTGCAGATTTCCATAATTAAATTATTTCTGGTTAAATATGAAAAAAAAAAATATGACACATTAACTTGCCAAATCAATAGTAACAAATAAGGTCAATGTGAGGTTAAAAAAACTTTTTGATTATTATTATATTTGATAAATAATTAACTCAGGCTGCGCAGTGGTGCAGTGGTTAAGAGCTGTTGCCTTGTAGCAAGAAGGTCCTGGGTTCGCTTCCCCCACGCGACCCCACCTGGACAAAGCGGGTTCAGACAATGGATGGATGGAAACAGGGATGTGTATTGTTGAAATTCTGGCGATACGATACAGGGGAGACGATACGATATATCACGATATATTGCAATACATTCAGTCGGACATTACAAGCAATTTTTTTACTGATTTTATTGTAAGAATGTTCAATAAACAGTCCAAATTGATACGTAACATGTTTAACATGAGGTATCTGACCCATGATGGAGGGATTTACATTTCAATGGTGGAAACAAAACCCGTTGCACACTGCTGCCAACTAGCGGGTGGCGATTGGATTGCACAAAACTAAAAGAAAATACACAAATGTTTGCTTGTAAATTCTTTCAAAAATTAGATACACAGCTTTTGAATATCGATGTAATAATCGCAGGAAAAAATATCACGATATATTGCCATATTGATATTTCCGATACACAGCTTTTGAATATCGATATAATATTGCTGGAAAAAATATCACGATATATTGCCATATCGATATTTTCTTACATCCCTAGATGGAAATAATTAACTCAGTGCCTTTTCTCTTACGTTCATATCAAAGTGTTCCTGGTGAATTTGAACTGACAAGTTCGAACTTTGATCTCTCTGGAAAGCAGAACGTTTTCATAGTAGTAAATCATCGTTTTAGAAGATGATATAAAATATGTTAAAAAGCAGCTTGCATACCTATTCCTGCATTAAGTATGTACTTTTATGTAATAGTTTTCTTAATAAACATGTTTGTTTGGATTTGTTGTGAACTTTTGCTCCGAGCATTCTCTATTCAATCTTGTTTTTGCTAGTCTGTAAACAAATAGCCTTTTTAGTAGCTTTATAATATTACTACCGTATTCTCCGGACTATGAGCCGCTACTTTTTCCCACGCTTTGAACCACGCGGCTTATAACGAGGTGCGGCTTTAGTCAACCAGAAAGGATGGATGCAGGAAAGTCTAATGAAGGAATGGTTAAAGGAGCGCTACGGAAAGCGCCCAGGAGGATTTTTTTCACAGTGAAACGGCGCTGCTTGTTTCCCCAGCTTCACCCGGGGATGATGACAGCAACACGGAGAGCGACACTGACATCGCCACGGAAAAGGTAGTGACGAAGCTCTTCTGAGGCTGTTCAACTCCGACACCGAAGAAGATGACTTCAGTGGTTTCAGTGCGCAGGAGGACGATGAATAAACTAATCAATAAATTGTCCGTTTTGTTTCATACTGATCAGTTACGTCCAGTTAAACTACGTTTTCAATTCAGTAAATATCTGCGGCTTTTCGCCCGGTGCAGCTTATATTGAGGTGCGCTCTATAGTCCGGAAATTACGGTAATCCTGCTATTTTAACCCAAAACCCCAGCAGATTTTTAACTAGGTGTCCCGAATTAATAGTATTAAACACAAACTTAAAGCCATTGATGCTTTCAAAAAAAAAAAGAAGAAATTAATTGATTACTTTGAATATAGAAGGCTATAAAGATGATAAACATCTTATTATAAAGACACAAATAATTGGAAGCTCTTTAGCTTGTCTACACTACGCTCTATTACTATGTGCTGAACTGTGTATACACAAATGTAAGCCTCAGCTGTTGTCTGCCTCACGTACCAATTTGGAAACAACGACTTGGTGTTAGTCACAGTCTGAATGTGGTTAAGAACACGTTCACCGCTTGCCGACAGTAGAACGCCACTGCCTGCCCTTGACTACTGATCCTGAGCCAAAAGGTGGGGAAATGTTTCCCGTTGCTGTGCCGAGGTGAGCCACCTCAGCATCACCATCACTTACAGGAGGTACGTGAAAAAAAACACGTTCTCCTCTGGACTAGAACAACAAGACAGATAGGCTGGGCTCTTTTTTACTGTGTGACCTAATCAAAACTAGCAAATAGGATTAGATAACAGAACTAACGGCCGACAGGAAGTGATATAAACTACTGTGGTCTAGGTTTATAATAATATACTATATACATATTATAGAATAAACATGCAATCTATATTTTGAAAAATAAATGTGCTAACTTTGAATTATCTGAAAGAAATATAATTATAAAGTTTTTGTTTAGTTCTGAATAGCCTAGAAACTTGTAAAGTAAAAGCACCCAAACAGGGAAAGTCTATTATTACAGGTGTGAATTAGCACTGATGGACTGAGAAATAGGTTGATTTGTTTTATTGTTACTTGGCACTGAGGCATTAATGGACCAATCTTTATATGTTTATACAATGTTTTATTAGATAGGAAAGTCACAGATTAAGCCAAGATTAGTATATTCCGATCACCAGCTGCGTTTTTGCTTTCATTTGTTTAATTTTGGTCCATTTCTAATTTTGAACTTTTTGTAGCTGTACTGTTACTTGTTAAAAATTTATCTTCAACGTGTTTTAAACAAAAAACAAGACAATTATTTGATAATTTAAACCAATATAAACGATAATAACCTCATTTTAAATATAGAAAAATAGATTTTTTGTAATGTGGCCCAACACTGGTAAACAAACTCTTCTGTTTATGTTACATATATTAATAAATAATACCGTTAAATCAACAGCCACTTTAAATACGTGCTAGTGCCGCAGTTTCACTTCCTTTTTTGAGGTTTCTTCCACTAAAACTCGCTTCTGATTCTCTAAAATCCGACTTGTTATCTCGCGAGAGTTCCGCCAGCCACGATACTTGGCTAAAAAAACAAACGCGTTTCAGTATTTTATCAGTTCGAGGTTTAAAAACCAGCTTTTAGAAACCTGAACGGGTTCTTAAAGTTTGTGTTGTGAGCTCAAGCACAGCCGCCATACGTCAGCACGCTGACCAAGTCATGTTTGCTTCAGTCAGGGGTTAAATCCACGGCGAAGAATGCTGTAAATGCACGTAATAAAAAGGTCAAAGTCTCTTATTGTATATTTGTGAGAGCTAACGTATAAAAATATTAGTGTCTGAGTAACTCACCAGCCAGCAGCTGCGGTGCAGGGTCTCTGCTGATGGGTTTTATCAGAGGTCAAGCCAAACACGCCTGTTTAGTTATATAATAGACGGACTGGGATGTTTTTCTGCTGGAGCTGCTGGCAGCAGAAGTTGCTGTCTTTAGCTGGTAGTCCTCCTTTTCTCCTCCTCCTGCTACAACAGCGTTTAATCCAGCTTGTCTGTCAACACGAGGTCAAACCCTATTTACCAACTTCATGCTGGAGGCACACCGACTCTCGTGCGGAAACAAAACCGAGCGCAACGCTTACCGTGCAGTTCACCTTCCTGTACCCTCAGCTTTTATCCTCGGAATCATTAAAACTTCCCTTTTGCCAAATAAACACAGAAGGAAAACCCACGCATCGACTTGGTTTAGTCTAAAATATGCAGGACGCTGTTTCTTTCTTTTTTTTATGGTGGAGGGGGAGAAGTGTCGTTTCGTGACCGAGCCGACTCAAAGTGCTGCCTCATTGGAGTGAACTGAATGTTCAAATGTTTGACACGTTACATCATAATTGGTGATTTATTTTCCCATTATGTGTGAAAATTTGTGCATTTTGGACAGCATCAGTGGCTAGAAATGGCCATACTTTGCTGGTAGGTAGAAGATTTATACTGGGTAACACATCTCAACATAACACCAGCTTCTGTTTTCTCTAGTCAAGAAAATTGTCAAAAGTTGTTTTTTGTTGTTGTTCCTTTTAAATCCTTTGTGCAGGGAAACATCTTTATTAATAAATACCATCAATAAAATTAATTTAAACTGACATAATTTGTCAAATACAGGTTTGTCAAATAGGTTTTCTCATCTTATAATAATTTATCCTTTATTGGTCCCCTTGGGGGAATTATTCTATATATTTGACTCATTCCTGAGTAGCAGCGGACTACGATCTGGATTAGGTCTGGGGACATTTTTAGGTTTCAGATTCTTGCCCAAGGATGCTTTGGCACAGGGACTGAGCGTCTCACCGTCCAATCAGTGGACAACCGCTCGCCTCGTTCAGACACGGCCGCCCAAGACCTTAATAGGGCATTTTAAAATGGAAAATATATTTAGTGCACAATTGATTTAATCAGCCATTTATTTGTTTAAATAGGCCTTTTGGGTGTTTATTATTATTTAATGACAAATGTTTTACTGCAATGCCTCTCTTATTTAAAGGTTTTATAGTTGTTGAATTATTTTGATTTGAGCATTGATTTTCCTTGTCTAAAATACTAACTAAATGAAAAAAGTTTACACATATTACTAAATGTTCGTGTATAAACACTAAAAAAAATAGTCAAAACTCAGCCTGAAAACAAGTTTTTGGGTAAGAACGGTTTTGTGAATCGAGCCAAATGGACCAGATCGCGGAAACCAGCTGAAATTCGTGTGCGTGTTTTTTCCGCCCTCTGCCACCCGCCCTCTTTTCTGATTGGTCCTTGAGGAGACCTGCCTCCTGTTTCCACGCGAAAAACAAACTGCAGAGTGGATATTCGCTTATCTCTGTGTAACACACTACTTCTGCTGGCTCCTGAGGTCTCCTTAAGACGCATGTGGCTAAAAACTAACAACTTTCAGGAAATCAAGCAAAAAGCAACTCTTAAGTTTGATAATATGAACATCTTCCCACTTAATGCGTCTGTTGACGAGGTTGAACAGTGAATAACAACGAGTCTATGCTACCATCTTCTGGTGAGATGGAGGCATCGCAGCGTTTTTTGTTGTTTTTCTACCATTTTGGATCTGTTGAAGGTGTGTGTGTTCCTCTTATCTTTAAGATAAGAAGATGAACACACACACACACACAACCTCTACTTTATTTGCCCTAGTTGCAGTTTCTTTTATTGTTCATAATCACAGTAAACATCTGGGTCAAAAGTTAGCCTCACTATTTAACCTGAAGCTATTTACTGTACAGTGAAACAAAAACACGTTTATTTTTTGGGGGGTGGGGTAATAACACTATACTACAACAACTACTACCAATAATAATCTTTATTCTAAGAATGTTTATCCTGACATTCTCATGCTTTGTTTTTCTTTTCTAAAGTTTTTGTAGTTTATTCAATTTTGTTTTTGTTTGATCATTCATTTTAGTCCAGTGTATGTTTCATTTTATTCTAAAGAATAAAACAAGCTCTGATTTAGTGACCTGATCATAAATGGTTAAACAGAAATGTGTATTTAAAAATTTTAATTAGAGTAAAATTATGTATTTTTGTAATGAAACCCAGAGGTCGCTCACGCAGTAAAAGCATCTTGTCCGTTTACCAGTGTCAGCGAGGTGTCAGCAGGGGGCGCTATGCTGCACCTAATCCTGTTTTGTAAGGACACTTTTATCACTGTGAAATAAGCGCATACTGCCCATCTCCTGTAAAACGATGTAAACTCAATAAAATCATATTTTCTGATCTAAATGAGCCACATGTTGAAGGTACACCAAACAAGATAAACTCTGATTAAAAATTGCCCAAGGAGTCTTTGGCACAGGGACTGACAGTGGCGTGTCCAGATCTTTTAAAATGGGGTGGCCCAGGTGAGGCACAGCTTTGTGCATGGGTGGCACCAATGGTTATGCTTTTTTTTTTTTTTTTTACCCCCAACCCTTTTGTGGACAATGAAAAGCCTATTTAAAGGTAAATTAGTGTGGTGGCACCTGGGGTGGCCAGTAAGATTCCAAGGGTGGCATGGGCTACCCCAGGTCACTTCCTGGGGACTGAGCGTCTCACCGTCCGATCAGTGGACAACCGCTCGCCTCGTTTTGAGCTTTTTTCCCAGCTGCACCCAGAATTTGGAATTCCCTCCCAGGGCATCTGAGGATACCACAGACGATTGGTGCGTTTAAATCTGGTCTTAAAACGATTCTTTTTACCAGAGCTTTCGGGTTAAATTAACCTTGTAGCACCTTGAGATTTGTTTCAAATGTAAAGTGCTTTATAAATCAAATTTATTATTATTATTAAAAATTGTATTTCAACTGGTGAAGAACTGATGCAGAAATGTCCACGAGAAGTAGACTTTAGGCTCAAACTTCACATTAAAAAGGCGTAAGACTCATGTGCAGAACATCAGAGTAAAGCTGGAATCACATCCTTCCTACCTGCTCCGGATGCTGCTGCTACTGTTGTGGACAGCAGGTGTGATTTGAATGGCAAATAAAGCTTATGCAAACAGTGTTTACTGTGGGTAGGGTATAGCATCAGCATAGATAGATAGATAGATAGATGTCACGATCTGCTCCTATCTCCCTCTATCTCTCCTGCCCCTGATTAGTTTTTATTGGTCTCACCTGCCCCTTGTTAACCTGCCCACGTGTTCCTGATTGCTCCCTGTGTATTTATACCTCCCGTCTTGTGTGTGTGAGTTGTTGTTCTCGCTGTATCCTCTGCTGTTAAATCCGTTTTTATGTTATCCGTGCCTGCATTCCTGCCTCCTGGTCAGCTCCACCACACATGGTCCGCCGCCACCCACACCTCAATGTGACGATAGATAAGATAGTAAGATAGATAGATAGATAGATAGGTAGATAGATAGATAGATAGATAGATAGATAACATATAGACACGGGTGTTTCTATAACTGTATTTTCAAAGACACCGTCCAAATAATAAATACACAAACCAGCAACACTTAGAGCATCTGCACGGTCACACAGGAGGTAACATGCGTCAGGTTAAAGGTCCTAAATACTAACTACAACTTATATCTACTGGAAGAGTCTAAAGAAAAGACACACTAGTGGAATTGTTCCCCCACATGTTATTTTCTAAAGGCACACCGTGAGGCTGCAGTCCTTCCTTGTCTACTTAACAGCAAATTCTTATAGAAAACACCAAGAACCTGTGCAAATGCCTCTTCCTCTCACGTTGTTGGTCTTTTTGAAACAAAGCTGAACAGATTTATATTTCTTGAATATCTTCTGGTTTATATTTGGAGTTGAAACGACACTCGTATTGTAAAACAAGATGCTAGAGAACAAAATGTAAAGTTTTCAAAGCCCCCAGTGAACTAAAACAAAAATATAATATAGTTTAAATAAAAACAGAGCAAATTACAAATAATAAAAAAATGTTTAAAGAAGTTAATAACATGCACCCTTGATAAGACTACGCACAGAAACCCACATTTATAAGGGAAAAATGTACATTTAAACACAAATGTTTTAGTTTTCTTACTTGGCTTTGACAGGTTAAGGCACGGTGTAGCTTAAATAAGATTGTTCATAGCTGTAAGTGTTCCACTGGATTAGATTATAATAATGTTACAGAAAATAAAACTCTACAGAACTAAATAACGGCGCCTGTACTTCCTCAGCCGTCCCCGTAGGACCCCAGAGAAAGGCAACAAAAGCACAACGGCACCAGAAACCTTCTTTTGTTTTTGCTCCTCTGACGTTTTAATTATTACCAGATTAGAGTGAATTAAACTCAACCAGCGACCAGATTATAAACCCAATCTGAGCTTTCAGTCTTTAGGGTTTCATTGGAAATGAATAAAAGAAACCAGATTCCATTCCACAATCTTGTGATTTTAGGAGTAAAAACACACATATTTGTACAACCTCCACCACTAAAATTATAATAGTTTAAAAATGGGAAAATAAAAATGTAAAAAAATATATAGAAATTTATTTTATCAGTAACTGTGACTAAATAAAGTGGCAGTCTTGAAGATTTGGATTGAAATGCATGATTTTAAATCACCAATACTGCAACACGCATAAAACATGTGTGCTGTTTTCTATGAGCTGATGTTTTTATTTGAATATTTCAGAAGTGAAAACACAACTTGTGTATCTAGAAGATTAAAAACATTGAGGCCAAGTTTCTGTTATGCTGATAACGTGCTGCAGCGGTAGTTAGTGACCCAAAAAACAAAAAAACTAAGTGAAATTTTTAATCTAAGTCGAGTTTTGGCCCAATATTAATTTTTGATTTTCGCACAGCACCGATCTGCTGATACCAGATTTATCCCAGAGAACAATCATTAAAACATCTTAGAATCTGGAAAATTATGATTCTGGAAGAAAAAAAAGTCCAAATTGAAGATCTTTATTTAAGAGTGAATTAACATCTAGACAGGGAAAAATGTCGGATTTTAAATGTACTCACAAATGATTTTTTCATTTCAGATTGTATTTTAATCTGTTGAATTGAGCTCATGTTATTGGCAGATTAATATGACGAAACATGAAAGGCACGAAATAGCAGTTTTACGTTAACATTTATGTAGGAAACTAAAGAGCTAAACTTTTGCATTAAGAGATTTAAGCTAATTTATTAATTTGGCTTGCCAACTCCGGGTCGGGGGAGGGGTCCTACCTCAAGTGGAGGAGTTTAAGGATCTCGGGGTCTTGTTCACGAGTGAGGGTAGGAGGGATCGGGAGATCGACAGGTTGGATCGGCGTCTGCAGTGATGCGGACGCTGAGCCGATCTGTCGTGGTGAAGAGGGAGCTGAGTCAGAAAGCCAGGCTCTCGATTTACCGGTCGATCTACGTCCCAATCCTCACCTATGGTCATGAGCTTTGGGAAATGACCGAAAGAACGAGATCGCGGATACAAGCGGCCGAAATGAGTTTCCTCCGTAGGGTGGCCGGGCTCAGCCTTAGAGATAGGGTGAGGAGCTCGGACATTCGGGAGGGACTCGGAGTAGAACCGCTGCTCCTCCGGATCGAAAGGAGTCAGTTGAGATGGTTTGGGCATCTGGTCAGGATGCCTCCTGGACGCCTCCCTGGGGAGGTGTTTCGGGCATGTTCTGCCGGCAGGAGGCCCCCGGGTCGACCCAGGACACATTGGAGAGGTTACATCTCCAATCTGGTCCGGGAACGCCTTGGGGTCCTACCGGAGGAGCTGGTGGAGGTGGCCGGGGAGAGGACGGTCTGGAGCTCCCTAGTTGGTATGCTGCCCCCCGCGACCCGGACCCGGATAAGCGGAGGAAGACGACGACGACGAAGCTAATTTAAATTTAATACAGAATTCTGACATTTTTTGCATCTCTACAGTTTAAAATGATAGAAACTGACATTTAAAGGTTGGATTTAATAAAAGCAAACATGATTTAAAACACCAACCCTTCTGAAAGCTTTGAGTGTTGAACAGCAGTTCAGAAATCAGAGTTCTCATATTTTGTCACCAGATAGCAAATAAATACGCGTTTATATGCGTTGTTCTACCTGGGCTGAAATAATCAAGACTGCCACTTTAAATCAGATGTAAGAGTCTAAAATTCAAACCTCAACCATTTTTCTGTGACTATAGAATCTTTCATAAAAAAGTAAGATTGCATAAGTGCTGGCGTGTTAAAAGATTTAGAGTGCAACCAGGAAGTGCTCATTTTAAACAAACTCCTCTATTTTTAAACTATTTATATGAAAGACCAAAGAATTGCCTCTGAAGATGGAGTTTGGGATGAGTGTGTTTGTTTTCTTATTTTGATCGTGGGAATTTGACTTATTTAATGCTTTCCTTAAACTTGGTTTATGCTTGACGCGTCCGCGAGGTCCGCACGGCTCCGCGCGGCAAAATTGCGTCATTTTAACAACCACGCCCCTCCACCGCGCCTCCGCACGGCCCAAACTTTCCGCACCGCGCACCTAGGAAATTTTCTAACCACGCGGACGGTCAGACGCGGAAAAACATGGCGGACCGGCAAGAACTAGTATGGCAGGGGTTCGTAAATACAGACATTTGTATGATTCAGCTCTCAGAGATCACCGTGATCAACATGTTGTTAATAATTCTTGGAGGGAAATAGCTCGCTCTGTCGGAAAAGACAAGGACGCTGTTAAAAATGCTGGAATGCCATGTTGTAAACAACAGTAATTTCTACTTCTACTATGGTGTAGTGTTGGATGCATGCCGTAGAGCTCCATGCTGCCCCCTACAGTTTGGGAGAATATTGGCTCACCTCAGAGACAAGCCGCATGAACCATAAACACTGCGAGTTGTGAAGCGCGTTCCATCCGTGAGACGCATCACCAAGCGGAAACCAAATGCGTCAAGCATAAACCAAGCTTTATAGTTCTCGTGAGGGTAAATTGTGCGTGAGTATTTACCTAAAATAAGATTATTATCCAGAACAATACCAGGGTTTGAGCCTTTCTGGAGAGATGGATCTTAGATTTATTTAATCCAAATTATTGTTATTTAAAGGGAGGAATGTTTTTAGTAAAAGGTTTATTTTTTTCATGGATTAGGGTTAATTTTTGACCTTTAAGACATTTTGACATCACAGCTTAGAGTAGAAGGAGTCACCGCTCATCTGGGAAAAGGTGCTGCATCAAAAAGTGGAATAAACAAAATGAGAATCCGCACACTTCACTCTGCGATGTAGGAGTTTACTGGTCAAGCTTTCGGTCAGAGACCTTCTCAATTCCTGATGAAGGTGGAAGTTTGAAGTGTGCGGACTCTCATTTTGTTTATTTGACATCACAGCTTAAAAAGTGTACAAATTAAAGGGGAACCGAGCCATGTCATGTTATTAGCTCCACTTGTAAGGAACTGGGATGTCCAGGAGGATGTGGTTTCCAACATGAGTTCAAAGATCAGTGAAGAGGTCCTCCAGAAAGTCCGAATCCTTACCGAGAGCGCAGAGGTTGTGTGTTCAGAAGTTCACTTGGACTCATAAATATTCATGGATAAAGATGAAACCCTCACTTTTCAGTTTCAGAGTTCACCATGGAAGAAACGATGTCCACCAAACTATCAAGTCCAAATAGGTAGCCGTCCTCCCTGTTCCCCTCTACCCATGACGCTCGGTGGGTTAGCTGGTCTCCAGCGGGAAGAGGCGTGGTTTTCCCAAAGTCGATCATCCAGACTTTGGCTCGTCCTTTGCTGTCGTGGACGAACAACAAGGAGCTGCCAATCACCTGTGTGAAAACAGGAAGCGACGGATTAAACAGAACTCTTTTAGTCAACGCTACAGGCCAGCTTTTCTTCTCAAAACACTATTTCACTTCTCGTTTTGTCATGCTGACCTGGAACACAGCATGTGTGCTTGTGTGTGTGTGTGAACGTGTAAAAATAAAAATGTATGGTCGTGATGAAATATGCTCTAATGATGGATCTGGTGTGCTTACAACAATATGGAAATAACACAATAAACAACTAGAACTAATTCACACATTAGTTCCTGGGCCTCAAGGCCTTCTGGGTAGCTGAAACCATTACCACATTTACTCAGCAATGCAACAGAGTCTGCAATCACCCACAGCGTGCACACAGCACACAACAACAGCTCATGCAAAATCATAAAGCATCAATTCTAATTCATTTTCTATGAGGCAAAGACAAGAATGACCCTGAACTAAAGCAAAACTTCAGACATTTTAATATGTTTCTGTGTAAAAGTTATACATCAGCTTTAAACTGTATCATTTGCGGCTTTTTTGAGTTTTTTTACCTCGTGAGCTTTGAAGAAAGAGGAGGTCTCCAAAGTGTCTCGTATTTCTTTTAGTCTTGTTAGATATTGGTTCTGTAAAAACATAAATAAACCACTGATTTTCACATCGTTTCATCTAATTCAGCCTGGATTACAAATGTTCTTTTCTCTAAAGCAACACACATTTAGTACTACTGTAGTCATTCAGTTGATATAATATTTGGGATACACAAAAACACACTATCATTGACTTCTTCCTCTCTAATACGTCTTAGTGTGAAACAGAGTTTACGGTTGTTTTGGCTCATCAGTGTTAAGTAGGGATGGGTACCTTTGACATTTGAATCGATTCGGTACTAATTCCCGGTACCTAGGAATCGATACCGGTACTTAACGGTACCAATTTTCGATACTTTTGAGTGTTTATTATTTTAATTCTCTTTTATAATTAAATATATATTTTTCCCAATTTATAACCATATTTGATAAATATCACGATAAATAACATTCAACTGTTTGTATTTTAACATCGTCCTTGTAGTTTTATAAGCTGATAATTAAACTGAAGCAAACATCTTTACTGTGAACTAAATTTACTGTGTATCTTCATTCCTTTTGCCGTCCGTTTTCATTTGATTTTTCCTACTGGGAAGTTAGAATTTCCGAGGAGAAAGCGAACGCAGCCTTTAGCTGATAACAATGGAAGCTAACATATCAAGCTAACGCTATCTTAAACAGTTTATTTAGCTGCTGGAGCAGATTTAAACGATGATGCCTCACACTTAGATCGCTGTCGCTGGTTTCATCTTCACCCAATCACCCGTCACCTTTTGTAAAGTGAAGCCAAACTTTAGAGCGCGTTCATGTTCTTCTAGTCGGAAAATCGGAGTTCCGAGGAGAAAGCGAACGCACCATTAGCGGAACGGAAGCTAACATATCAAGCTAACATTATCTTAAACATTTTATTTACCTACCGGAGCAGATTAAGATGAGGATGTCTCACTTAGATCGTTGTCGCTGGTTTCATCATCACCCAGTTACCCATCACATTTAGTGAAGTGGACCCAAGCTTTAGCGTGCGTTCTTTCTACCATGCTGCTCTGTTTACAACTGGCTCGCAGCGACCGACGACATAACGCTCTTGCGCATGCGCAGCTGTCTAGGCAAGTTCTCGTTATGAAGGACGGGTACCGAAACAAGGCACCGTTTCAAATGACGTGAATCGGTGCTCAGTCGGTACTATGGAATTCGGTCGGTACCTGAAAAAGTACCGAATTCGGTACCCATCGCGTGTGTTAATGTCAGTTCTCAGGAAGAGAAACCAAGACTCTGTAATGTTAACATAAAATAGCTTGTGTGTATTTCTGTCGATGTTCTAAAAATGTGTAAAATGCACTCACCAGAATGTCTTTATCTCCCTTAACGAAGTCGTGGAAGGCTGCAGTCACCTGTTCTCTTGTCTTTGTCTTTTTGAAGTCTCTGTTCACTGTCCCGTCTTCCTTCTGCAGCAGAGATCACAACAGCATGTCAGCTGCAGATCTGACATTGTGAGGAATTTATTTGTACTAAAGAGTTTTTTACACTTTAAGCTACTGCTTTCAAACTGGTTTCAGTGGTTCTTCAGCCAGAAACTTGTGCAAATTCACATTAGACTGCACTCTGTAGCCCTCTGATGACCAGAAACTGTTTTGTGGTTCAAGTAGGAACACTGGTCTCTACCTGCTTTACAGCAATAGTTGTTTACTGTGCTAGTAGCTAATTTAAAGGCTAGCAGTTGGTATCATAGCAGAGCCTGGAAGTAAAAGAAAAAGAGTAATGCCTTTGGAGACCAGGTAAAAAGCTAAAACCAAAGTGAACATCGGCGTGGCCTACAATAGCTTGAGGGAGCCGAGGGAAGCTATGAAATTATGAGTGACCTGGCTTTGTTGGCTCATTTTAGCATTAGCTCATTTAGCATTAGCACTAGCTACAGCAGTCTGCGGCAAGGTTGTTTACGAACGTTGGGGAGAGTTTGTGAAAACTTTTGAGCCACCCCTGCCAAACTAGCAGATATGTGAATGATTCATGCAGGGCATTTTTGAACCACTTGGGACAATGTCGCGGGCTTCAGATTTGTATTTATTTAAAAGAGTGTTTGTAGTGACCTCTGACCTTTACGTGTCATGCATGTTTTAACTGTGACAATAATCTGATGAAATCCTTTTAAACTAAATGTCAGCAGAGAGTCTGCAATTTGTGGTTTTCAGGAAGGTCGTTTTATTTTGGCACATTGTTCATAATTGGCAGACGACTTAAGAGTTTTTCGTCGGACAATATTGAAAATGTTGGTAATGACTGATTTTCCAACGTGTTTTCGCAAACACCGCAGTTTTAATTCTGCTTTCAACCAGTAGGAGGGACAAGTGTGAAACTTTTAAGTGTTGCTTTGAGCATAAACGTTTTTGCCTTAAACTAAAATTACATTCTGCTCTAAGCACGTAGGAGAACGAGGTAAGAAGGGGACAAAGGATGCAGATATTTCTAGAAATTTTGCACTAAAAAGATGAACTGGTTATTCTCAGTAATAATAATTTACAGGTTTTTCCGGTTGTTTTTCTTTGCTACCAGGAGATTTTGTCTCCTTTTAAACACCAAAGAGTTAACCCAAGTGTTATGGAAATTTTATATTTCATTGCTTTAATCCTGTTAACAAATGTCCTGAAGCATCCTCACACTCAGAGACACCCACACACTGTTCTTCCCACACACACACACATATTCTTGTCTCACATACACACAGTGACTACGTTTACATGCAGCCAATATCCGGGTTATGATCGGGTTAAGGTCGGCATTCGGGTTTCTAAGTTGATCAGAATAACCCGTTTACAAGCATAAATAGAAAGAGTTACCTCTAACTTGCATAGCCCGATTTAAATGCGGACGTTGGGGTAGCGTCAGGACGTATGGACTACGTCCAGACGCAATATGCCTCATTTCCGGTTCTTCTTGTTCTGGTATCCGTGAAAACAACAACATGTTTCCCAGTTCGGAAGAGAAAGCGACCACGTTTGTTTGTGCTTTAGTTTCCTCCTCACTCCAAAAGTGTGGTGCTGTGCCGCGACTCACCATGTTGCTCCCAACTTGTTGTTTACTTCCGGTGTTCTGGCGCATACAAGACGTCTCGCTACTCAAAAGACCAAGATTCCTTGCGAACAGAGCATGCGCAGAACACACGTTTTGATGGGGATATCCCGATATGCGTTTACACGACCAAACATTCGGGTTTTAAAAGGGTTACTGGCTGCATGTAAACGCACTCAGCGAGTGCGTTTACATGCAGCCAGTAACCCTTTTAAAACCCGAATTTTCGCAATAACCCGGTTCCGCAGGTCCTTGTAAACACCGCCAAAAACCCGGATATGCTCATAGCCGGGTTTTTAAAAACCCGGTTACTACACCTGGGGTAATCCTTTTCTAACCCGAATGTTTGGTCGTGTAAACACATATCGGGATATCCCCATCGAAGCGTGTGTTCTGCGCATGCTCTGTTCGCAAGGAATCTTGGTCTTTTGAGTAGCGAGACGTCTTGTATGCGCCAGAACACCGGAAGTAAACAACAAGTTGGGAGCAACATGGCGAGTCGCGGCACAGCACCACACTTTTGGTGTGACGAGGAAACGTGTCTTCATCGGTCTGGTGAAAAGTATGAACATTTAGTCTTTTGTTGACGGCTGAAAGTACAGACACAGCGAAATATGACGCATATTGCTGGACGTAGTCCATACGTCCTGACGCTACCCCAACGTCCGCATTTATATCGGGTTATGCAAGTTAAGGGTAACTCTTTCTATTTATGCTTGTAAACGGGTTATTCTGATCAACCCAGAAACCCGAATACCGACCTTAACCCGATCATAACCCGGATATTGGCTTCATGTAAACGTAGTCACTGACTCTCTCTCTCACACAATGACCTCACTCCCATTCTTATCTTTCCGTTTAAATAAAGTCTGTGACCAGATGTCCGGGGCATTTTGCCTCGTGCGTATGCCACAGTTATAACTGGTTGACTCGTTGTCTCATTGTCTCTTTTTCTCTTCGACTACAGGAAATGGGTTATTGCTAAACATATTGATAAAATCCCTAACACCAAGTCTCACAAGAAGGAATGTATCAATAATGATCAAGGCAGAGCCTCTTAAAATGCTAACTTCCCTTCTTAGTGTAGAAATGTGGAAGTAAACACAAGCTTGTACTGGTTTCAGTAGGATACTGGTAAGAGAAACATTTTGAGCAAACCTCTCATTTTCATGTATTTTGTTCCCAAACAGGCGGTGTTTCTTGTAGTTGTTTGAAATGGGTTTGAACGATAGTTCTTCAAATAACTTTCTGTCTAGTGCTTCAACATGACAGTGACAGCTTCATGTAGACTGTGATTTTATGTTGAACTGTGTTACTGTTGGTGTTTCTAATAGATTTTGCTTAAGAAATGGTAAATTGTGCTTTTGCAGCAGTCAGAGGGGGTAAAACGGTGACGTTAGGCCATGAAGGATTAAAACTCGTGTCAACAGTTGTCCTAAAGTCAGTGTCAGGTGTTTGTGGTCTTGTAAGAGGAGACAATGCGGGCCAGAAACAGATTTCCACAGGACCAGTGATGGTTGTCAGTTAGGTGGTGCAGAGTGGAAAATGAGCTTATTTTATCCTGCCTGCTGCCAGGCAACAAGGTAATATTTGTAGGCAAAACATTTTTTCTCCCTTTTTGGTGTAAGTCTGAGCAGCCTGCTCATCTCTGTCTCACACACACATCAAACCTAATTATCCCACATTTTCCACATCTATAACAAACACATCGCTACGGACATAAAAACCAAAGATTCACACGTAATTCTCCAAACATAACCAAAACCTCATTTATGTTTCAGGGAATAATCCTCAGCGTCATGGCAACAGATCACTGGGAGGCCATGAATGTCCTTATATAGCCAAGACTGAGCGAGACAAAGAGATTAGCAAGTGTCAGCGCCAGGTGCAGAGCTACACAGCTGCTGCCGACAGGCCCTGTGTACCACCGAGGTGGTCAACAACACACTTCAGAGGAAGTTTCTGGGAAAAACAGGAAGTGACATCATACCCAAAGAAAGAAAGAAGGGAAGGAAGGCCACCCACACGTTTCTGTTCGTCAGTCTTACCTTAACACCCTCTATCCTAAATCCCAGAGTGGCTGTTGAGCTAATGGTCTCCCTCCACTGCATGTATCTCGGTTTGGTCACCGCCTTCTTGTCGTTCTCCTCCAATGTGGGCGCGCCGGGGTCGACCTCCACCATTTTCTGATACATGTCAGGTCTGGGAGAGGGCTTCTTACGAGCTTTGGTCAGTTCTTCCTCCAGGTAGGTTCTGAAACACGAGTTTGAGAGTTGTGAAGCAGGAAAAAAACTGTGTGTGGATGAGAGTCCGAACTTCTCATTTTTAGATATTTATTTCTGAACAGCCACAAATCTTTACCTGAGCTTTTTTTTTAAATAAAGATTTGTTTGTAATTTCCTAGAATGTGCCAGACTCATTAAAAAAACAGGTCTGTTGAGCCAAGAAACACAGTTTAACCAGATCTCCCACCTTACTCCCATCTTACAGTCCATCACGCACGGACAGTCAAACTCTGCCAACAGATCCTCCATCTGGTTGTATTTCTGCCCATCTTTCTCTATGTCTCCATGGTAACCAGGAACGAATGGACGCAGCACATCGTCCATCAACAGGGACAAACAGCGCTGCTCGCATTCGCAGTGTTTCTACAGAACAACATGAACAGAGGAGCATTTAAAACCAGTGAAGCTAAAGGATGGAGATGTCAAAAACAGATGAACTTACCTTTAATATTCGGCCGTTTGCTCCTGCCTTGAAACTCCCTGTAAAACAGCAAGACTTTCATTGTCAGGCTAAGTCACTTTTAAAGGTAAACTAAACAAATAGCTGTGAATTACATCACCTTTACACAAGAGAAAACATTTACAATTAAATCAGTTTTTGTGGCTGAACCTGAAAGGGAATTTCTTTGCCGTTTTTGAAAAGTGTTTCTGTGTAAAAGTTTTAAATAACCACTACCAGTAGATCGATTCAGAGAAAGAGTACATCCTACCAGAATGATGCGCTAATGGCTAGTTAATGGTTCAGCCAAAACCAAAGTTAAAGGCGGCCATCTTTTAAACAGCTCAGTCTGTGCTGAAGTCACTTTGTAAGTCCTGCAGGATTTAAAGTCTATGGCTGTGTCTGCATCCTTCCTAGGCCACATTTTAAGGTTAGTTACGTCACTGAGAAGCTGTGCAAACTCAAAGGATACTCAAAATATGTCCTCAATTTTCTCAAATTTTAAGGACGGGTCTGCAGTATCCTCACTGGCAAAGGCTATCCCAGAATTCCTTGCAGACCAAATAGGAGATTTTCGTTCTTGCAATAAAGATGGACGAAGCATGAGAGGATTACAGTTTTAAATGTTAATATATTAATATCTGGTGGTGTAATACTAAAAAGCTTTATGCGGTTGGGTTGTTGGGCTTTTGTGTTTGCATGTCATGGTCTGCATCCTGCATCCCCCTCATGTGTTCCCCAGCCCCCCCTCTAGGTTCCCCTAATGTGTCTCCTTGTGTTCCCCAGCCCACTCCAGGTTCTCCCCTTAGGTTTCTGTGCCCCTTTAGGTCTCCAACCCCTCCAGGTGTCCCTCTAGGATCCCCCTCATGTGTACCTAAGCTTCCTGTGCCCCTTCTTGTCTCCAGCTCCCACCAGGTTTCCCAGGTTCACTTATTCTTTAGTTTTCGTTGTATTTATATTATCTAGCAAAATTTTCCCTGTAGTTTTCATTGGTTCAGGTTCCTTCCTTGGTCCTTCCCCACCGGTTTATTAGTTCTCCTTTTCTCCTTAGATCATTAGTTATTTGTCTTGTTCTTCTAGTCTTTAGGTTTGGTTATTATTCATAGGTCATGTTTTACTTCCGCTCCTCAGCTTAGTTTCCTCTCCCTGATTAGTAAATTGATTTCACCAGGTTTCTCTCTTCCCACGCACCTGCAGCTCATCTCCCAATCATCCTGCCCTTGTGTATATAACCCTGTCTGCGTCTCAAGGTTTTGTTGGTCCATTGTCCTTGTCAGCATTGCTTTGTCCCTCCCCTCCCTCTTAGGTCTCTAGTGGGCCATTCCCATCTGTACCGGGTCGGCCCGGGCCGGGTAGCCCCAGTCGGCCCCAGCCTGGCCCGGTTGATTCCACACATCCTTGTCTTAAGCCCATGTGGGCTGATTCTACCCACCAATCAGAGGCTTGCTCTAATGGAAGGTGTGAATTTGCTGTCAGCAGTGGGTGTGTTGGCCCTGGTCGGCCTGAAGCAGACCCCCTCGAGAAGAGGGCTGAGAATGAGCCTTGGTTGGCCCGGAAAAATACCAGGCCACCCAGATATGTAAACAACCTACGCTACCCGGCCCGGGCCGACTCGGTACAGATGGGAATGGCCCATAGGTTTTGGCTTCGTGCCCTACTAGGTTTTCTTTGGACTCTTCATTCTAAATAAAGAATGTTTAATTTTACATCCTCTCCTGCCTCGTGTCATTCTGCGTATCTGCGTATTGGGTCCTACTCCTCCAACCCACAACGTGACATTGCATTTTTGTTTTATAAATATATTTCTGACAAAGTCCTCACAAGGATGCTGGCCCTAAATTTGGACACAGCCAATTTCTCAGAATAGAGGTTTTCATAAAGATGTCATTTCAAAATAGCCCAAAAAAAATCCCTTTAAGGTGCCTACTGAAAGCAGACCCTGCTGTATAATCCTAATCTCAAATATCTAAACTAAACAGACGTATTTTGGTTCTGTGAATAAAATAAGATCGTCCTTTATTCGTCCCGTGAGTGAGAAATTGTCATTGTCACGGCAGAAAGTGGACAGTACAGGTAAAAAGTAACAAGTTTAAAAACAATAGAATAAAAAACTATACCAACATGCAGTACACTGTAGTACACTGATTCAAGCAGTCTAGAAATATAAATATAAACATGTATGAGTGTGTTGAGAAATGAGCTAAACTAGAAAGTGACGGGGTTATGCAGCACAGCAGTGAAGCAGCTGTCCTGATGTGTGAGGGGACGCTCTGCACGGTGTCCACGTACCGGCATGCCCCGCCAGCTGGATCCAAGGATATTTCTTCTTGAAGGACATGACGAACGGCGACCAGTGAACCATGTTCTTTATCTTCTTCCAAGACTTGTGCTGCAGAAACACACACAGAGGTTTATCCTTTTCCCGCCAGAGACACAAATCTAAATGTTTTGTTTTTAATACATTCAGAAAGATGGATTAAGACCCTGGAATGGTGTTGCACAACCACGCCTCCACAAATATGTCTGTTACACAAGAGCCATCATTTCCCTGCAGCCTCAGCACAACATTGCAGACTAAATCTGTACACTGAGGATGTTTCTCTCCTTAGAAAGATATTTGGACTCACAAATAAACTGTTTTGTAGTTTAGTTCAAATTAAAAAGATCAGCATACAGCTCCATGCCGGATTAGTGTTCTTCTGACACCAGGAACGTCTCCAAATTTCAAGGTGGAACAGATCAGAATATGAAATTATAAGTTTAGGTTGTTTTAACTAAAATGTTCATGTTTATGTGTATTATTCATCCACCCATTTTCTTCTGCTTACTAAAGTCGCATCATGGAGGTACCAGACCCAGAAGGGACACACTGACATCCCTCTTTTCAGCTAAATGCTCAAACTCCCAGGCCCCTGCACCAGCGTCATCTTTCAGCGGGATCTCCTGGAAACCCTCCAGAGCGACATGACCAGGTGGCATCAAGATTAGATGTAAAAACCACCTCTGCTGCCTCCTTTCAATGCAGAGGAGCAGCCGCTCCCCTTCGGGCTCTCCTCTGATGAAAGACTTCTTTATCTTTTGTCGGCTGAACCAGACACGCCGTACGGAGGAAGCAGCTGCTTGACAATCCTGATGATCTAGGTCTGAATGTCTTGACCTTTAGTGAGGGTTGGAAAGTAGACAGACCAGTAAATTCAGTAAATCCAGTCAATCAAGAGAGCTTCGTCTTTCAGCTCAGTTCACCTGACACAACAGACGGGAGCAACGTCCCCATTCCAGAAGATGGTTGTTGCAACATCTTAATCTGTCACTCGAAAGCAAGACCTAAAGAATGCACTTCACCTTTTTCCAAATCAAAGCCATGGCTCCATACCACACCATGTTTGTTTGTATAGCACGTTTAAAAACCACATGACAGCTGAGCAAAGTGCTTCACAAAGGAGCAAGGATGCACCACAGTCGTAGGACAGACAAGAAAAACCAACACTGCAACATCATAGTAAGTTAAAAGAAATGCAACAAGGTAAAATATCTAAAATAAGAAAGCAAAAGCATTTTATTAATAAGACAGCTAAAAGAGGAGGGGACTTAAAAAGCCAAAAATACTCTTCTAATAGGACATGAGGACCAAAACAAAATCCAAATAAAACATACGTGGCAGATCGTAAAAGATAAAAACCGAATTAATGACTAAAAGATAAAAGGGCCTTAAAGAGACTTCAAACAGACTAATGATGGGGGCTGCCATACATGAGAAAGCCCGCTCCCCATGGGATATGTACTGCATTTTAGGGACAGACAGGAGCAGCTGACCTCCAGGCTTGGAGGAGCAAACCACCCCAGGTGTACTAAAGGCCTTGGCTTGAGGACAGAAGCGCACAATGAGGAAAAAGCCAGGATGAAACCCAGAGGGCAGCCCTGGAGGAGGCCAACCGCACTGGAAACAAACTCAATTGGAGCCTATAGACCCTTTTACTACCTGCGTCATCAAAAGTTGCGCGTGAAACCTGGCAACGAGAGTGAAGGCTTCCTCATTCACACTCGATAGTATAAAACAGCGTTTTAAACCCTTTGTTTTGAAGTTCTGAGCACATAAACATATCGGGTTGTTGCGTGTATGGATGCCAGAGTCGCTTCTCTTCAAGCAGCAGACTGAAACTGTACAGAATTCCGAAGGGAGCACATCCATTTCAACAAAATCGGAGGCGTCTGTGGCTGCAGGCCATCAACAGGGTTGATGAAAACTGGACGGAAAACACGATCCGAAATGCTCGAGTTTGTAGCGCCCATTTTATATCAGGTAAGGTAATTATGTACTAAGGTTACATATAAATGTATACGCTTTATTTCATGCTTCAAATTAACATTTCATTCTAATTCATCTGTATTTTCCCACTGCATGTTAGTATAAACTGTATTTCTCTAAAATTAACACGATTGTACTCTGAGCACGCTAAAAAGAAACCTATGCTATACTCACCCTGCCATGCAGGTACGTAGTTCTCTGGTTTGTTTACTATGACCCAAGCCTCGTACGTAGCAGTCTTGTGTCCTTGTCTTTGGCTAGGAAGGACTTCTGCCTTCAAGACGCAAAACTCAGTCTATGTCGTGATATTTTACTTTCTGTACGTGGCCACAGACAACATAGTTGTATGCATCTAATGATTTGTATGCCCATAGCTTCTCACGTGTGTACTTACTGGGCCTCTCCACTAAAAACGTATATATATCGGGCCACTGGATATCTGGCCACGCACCTACATCTTCCACCCATTCCGTAATGCCACAGGGATCCGGGAGTCTGTTGCCATTCGTTGAAGTGAGTTTAATAATATAACATTCAAGATTTGCCGGTGATAACCCCGCAGCGTAGCTTGAAGAAGCCTGACACAACGCCGTTCTCTGTTGCCAAGCTGTGCGCGCATTCTCGCCAACGTCATATTGTTTACAAACAGTAAAAGGGTCTATAGGACAGCCATTAAAAGTTGACCTGGTAAGCCATCCTCCTGCAGCACCCCCATCCCCAGTCTGAAGCTCCTCCAGGTGTTATGTCAAGTCATCGACATTAATACACGTGTATAACACGTATGTGTTTAGTACTATAGCCATGTAAAGTGCCTCTCTACTGAACAGCTCTGAGCTGTGATGTTAAGCCATATCTAAAGGCCTATAATACTCCCCAGCACACACACACACACACACACACACACACACACACACACACACACACACACACACACACACACACACACACACACGCAAAAGCAAAGGCTCTCCTTGTCCCTGGCAAAGACACATGGAGCTGTGGGAGTCCTGCTTCAAAAACACACACACACACACATCATTGTTGTTTCAGCATAAACAAGTTGATTCACATACTCTCTCTCTTTCTCTCTCCCCCTCTGTGTGTGTGTGTGTGTGTGTGTGTGTGTGTGTGTGTTAATTTTTAGCTTTAAAGGCATTCCAGCAGAGGAAGTTCTGCATTTAGATCTCGTGGATGAAGAGCAATAATACATATTAAAGCTAGCATGCTAAAATAATTAAACATGATGCAAAAGTTACTTTTTGCTTTGATAAACGAGTCAATTCTAAACCAAACGGTTAAAACTTTATATTCAAACAATCCTGTCAGATTCAAACTCATCATGTCCTTAGTTTTCAACTTTCCGCATCACAGTGAAGCTGCAGCACTTTCCATAAAAAAAAAGATGAAATTCCAAAGTGTTTTTTTTTTCATTATTATTCCAGATGCATTACATCAGATGGAAACATTCCAAAAGTCCTAATCTTGGGATTCAAACAATGCTGGGCTGTAGCAGAGACAGAGGATGCCACAGAACTTGCAAATAATTAAAGTTATTAATGATTTTATGTATTCCTCTCTGGTTAGATCTTTGTTCTATAACCTAAACGTCTCTCAGCTGCAAACGGGAAATAATATCACACCTACAAAAACCTCTGAGACAAGAGCAAGAACAGCAAGTGGAGAAATGGGAAGAAAAAGGATAAGAAATCCATAAAAGGAGACATTTAACTGATGCCACATAATCTGGACCTGGAGAAAATTCATCAGCTGATAGGATGACTATCTATGGTTAAACGGGTTCCTGCACACAGCTTCTCTTCCTGACTGGGGCAGTGACGGGTAACATGATGCTTTTTTTTATTTCCCGGGACCAAAGGAGGTCTGAGAAACCCCTCCTCAGACAGCAACTCACATGTTCACGTTTGTGGAAATCACACAGTGGAAACTCATTAGAAGTGAGGTCATCTGAAACGGCTCCCAGAAAGCAGACAGTCTAAACATTCTGCGTTTGACGTTTGAGAGCAGACGGTCTGCCAGGAGCAGACTGATTTCTTGTGTATAAACTTTAAAACCATCCTGCTATTTGGGACGCCGCCACACAAACAGAATGATTTCTTTGGGGTTTCAGAGAAAACTGACACTCTCGCTGTGTTTTAAAGTTAATTACGTGGCAGGAAATCTCATTAAATGCTCTCAATAATTAAAATAAACTGAAAAAAAAAAACATGCAGATTTTAGAAATAAACATTTAATTTGTTTCTGGAAATTTAACTGGATTTTCAATTAGCAGTAAAGATCGACCGATAAGGGTTTTTCTGCTGTTGATACCGTTGGCGATATGTGCTGCTGGCATCACTCCGCCGATTGGATAACAGCAACGTAACTCTACCATTGGCTCAGTTTGCTTTGATGTTTTATCCCCACAAATAACACAAGCCTTAAGGAGTTCTGCAGTGTGGTGGAGTTGCTAATGCTAACGGTTAGCTTCCGCTAGCTGAGACACTCTCTGCTGTTTCCTGGACGCCAAAAAAACGACAGCCTTTTCCATCGTGAGACAAGATTGGTAAATCCGTGAATGTTCAGTGACAGGGTGACGTAGGTCTGTCGGGAATTTTTAATCCCACAGTTTCACCGTCTGATTTTCTATCAGAAGCTAATGCGGGAGCTAGGTGAAGACTAGTTTCACGTTCAGCCTGCATGGAAAACTCTGAGTGACCGATTTTGATCAGAAATTACAATTTAAAAAATGGTCTTTCAGTGTTCCACATCTTTAAATAAAATTCTGCACCAGGCTGCCCACAGATGTGCGTGATTTTAAATCAAAACTGCTATAGAGGAACATTGGCCAATCCCGATATACAAAGAAAATTGTAAATATCCGCCCCATATATGGGCCTCTCCTTAATTAACAGAGCATCAGACAAGGCTTAAACTGAGCATGCTCCAGCTAGCTATTTTATCTCTCCAGCATGTAGCTCAGCTAGCCCTAACCCAAACATGTGTGCCGATTTTGAAGATTGTACAAATAAAATAAAAACCAAACACTAAAAAAAGCTACAGCTCTCAAACTGATCAAGAGCTAA